TGGCACTAAGGGGACGATTTACTAACTTCTCGCTTTCTAAATGCGCTTTGTTCGTTATTTTGAAAATGTACATATTAATAATTATAATTAGTAATGCTTATTAATAGGAGTAACAAATAATTAATTCTTCATTAATAATTCTTATTAAAAAATAATGAACAAAAATATTTACAAAGAATATGGAAATTTATTTAAATTCAAAATAGGGAACCCTTCTACTGCAAAGGCGATGTTCTTGGCTGTATCATTTCGGTGGTCATTTTTTACCATTTCGGTAGACAATTTTCATTTCAGTGGACTGCCGAAAACTCATCCTTAAATATTTCAGTAAGTGGTGATTGTTGAATTTGACGCGTAGGATCGTTTAAAAATTAAAAAAAAAACTAACAATATATTTTCTTTTTTTATTTTGCGCCTTTAATTGCATTTTGTGTAAAAACTATGGGAGATACGCGAAAATATGTTGATACCTTTTTTGTAGGAAATTAAATTTTCTACAACTTTGTACTAGAAACTGTTTTCTATTTTTCCAGCCAGTCGCGAGATATTGACGAAAAACTCGTTTTTGCACCATTTCGCATTTTTTTTTTCACCCTTTGCCGTCAATGCAGCACCCTGCAATTTTAGTATATTAATCTACGAACCCTTGCGGAAATGTTCGCGTTGGTTGCAGGTGATCAACTCAAAATGGCAAAGTTAAGCTTCATTGACTGGACTAGATGCAATTTACATTAACAGAACTTTGTTACTTAAGTACATATGCAAGTGTGTCCAGCCTCGAGTGGTACAATAAAATAACGACCGATCTTGAAATGTGAATAAGTTTATGATTTTATAACTTTAAATGACTAATTGAAATCTTAGTATAAATATGACACCTAACTATTCTACAAGGCGACGTCCAATGAACGCAATAGCGACAATCGCGCGAAATTTGGACAATTCATCATTGGTTCCTTAATGTGTAATACACAAACTTAAAACCTATTAGTAGTTACAGGTATTAATTCGGTCTTCCTTATTAATATTTTAAATTGTACAGGTAGATATATTAATATACAGTAATGTAATACACTCGAGAGCAATGAATCCGGGTCACATAAAGAATCCTAAAAATCTCGCAAACTAATAATGCTGACTTAATGAAATAAATTGTGTTTAATAGACAATTAAGTACTCCTTAAATGAAAGTAATAAAATTTATGAGTCACCACATTTTATTTACAAAAAAATACATAAAGAAAAGAAACTGGCTGATCTCGCCTTAAAACAAAAATAGGAAACATAACATTTTTGAACAACATTACGATTTTCTTGAATTTTAATACTTCGTATTGCCTCCTCGTGGTTCCATTACTGCGTTTACCCGGTTTGGCATTCTGTACACCAAGTTCATATACGATTTTGGGGAATATTCTCCCATTAGTCTGTGTGCCAGGCATGCTCGATCGGGTTGATATCCGGGCTGCGTGCTGACCACTCCATACGAGTAATGTTCATCTCTTGAAGGTTCATTCACAATCCAACCTGTATGAGGTTGGGCACTGTCCTGCCTAAAAATAGCATCCTCACCCAAACTGACCATAAATAGACCAACGTGCATTCCCCATCTTTCCCCAGGTCTTTAATATACTCTATGTCTTCCATCGTGCTTGTAGAGCATAAATTTTGATTCGTTGGAGAACATAACTTTTGACCTCTCTGCGAAGTTAAATGTAAGTGGTTCTGGGTATATCTTAGTCTTGAAATACGATACGCTCCAGTTAAGGCCCTAGTTTCAGCAAGTCGTCGTCTTACTGTCCATGCGCTTGGGTTACTTTCTCCGAGGTGCCGAAACTGATTTGTAATTTCAGTTCCTGTGAGAAAGCAATTTCGAAGCATGGTTTTCACCAAGTATCGATCTTCTCGTGCTGTGGTCCTTCTGGTTCTGCCTGTTCCTGGTATGCGTAGGTTAGAGCCAGTTTCCTCATAACGTCGGAAAACTCTTTGTACTGTTGACAGCGATACACCGAGAGTCCTGGCTGTATCACACTGACTTCGGCCGGTTTGAAGCATTGTGAGAATTCTTTTGCTTTCTTCAGGTGTAAGCGACATGATTACAGCTTGAATAATTAATATTGAACACTATCGACATGGTTTAAATGAATGATATAGGACAGATTAGAAACAAAAGCAAATGCAATAATTTCGTAGTTACATCTTCGAGTCTCCCCTTTTTCACAATTGTTTTTTTTTATGATCGGGGGACACGGCAGTGCCCCCACCAAGTCGAGCGCGAAGCAAACACTGCCGTACCATCCGTTACTGGAACCATTCCGCCGCATTTTCAGGCCCCTATTTGAAAATCTCTGGATAAGACCAGAACGCAGAAATTTTCATCATCCAGTAAGCTATAATAACATACTTAAAATCCAAAATTTCAAGTCTGTAGGTCATTTAGTTCCGAAGTTAAGCGAAAGCAAAGTTTCGCATTTATGACACTCACTCACTCATGATCATCAGAATAGGACTAGTACTTCCCATAAACTCAAGAGAGCTGAAATTTGGTACAGAGTTAGGGTTTAATGGCCACATAAAGGGAAATCTATAAAAACTAGAATAATCGAAGATCTGGAGTATCTGGTGACCCTGATTAGAAAACACAAGAGCCCAACCAAACTATTAGAAGAGATCGACATACAGCCTTCACAAAAATTCAACTTGGTGGGCCGCTTCATTTGATGTCAAAAATCGAAGGTCTGAAGTATCTGATGAAGAACCCTCAGCTGTTGTCAGCTGTATTAGAGATATGGTAATGCCCCCTTCTACTATTGGTACACAAAAAAATCGACTGTCATTGCAAAAAACCAGCGTAGTGGGACACATCTTTTTATTTAATCTAGCCTATAGCTTCCCACAGTTGGGTGAATGCCTCCCCTTCTGCTTTTAATACGCATATAAATAAAATTAAACTAAAACTCTGGATAACACTAGACTGGCTATTATACTTATACTTACGAGTTTACAACAAAAAATAGTCGAACAATTAACTTTATTGTACTCGAACATTACACAAATTAAATAAACAAATTACACTAAAATATTAATTTCGCTCAAAATTTGGTCAAAATATAATGCATTGGACTAAAAGTGATACCAAGGTCTAAGTCTAAAAAATGCCCTCATGGACATTGCCACCACCATATTCTCTTGTGGCCAAGCCTACGTGGGGCTTTCACGAGTAAGCAATCTTCATGGGGTGCACCTCATAAATGTTGACTTCAAGAGTATAAAAGCTCAAGCTTCAGCGATCACCGAATAAAACCGGCTTAGGCGTAAATACCGCGCCGATCTTTCAGAAATTAAACCGTCTAAAAGAATAAATAAGGAACGCGAATGGGCAATACGAAAAACTGTTGCTACTGTTCAAGAATCAGAACTGGAAAAAAGAAAAGAAAGATTTGTAATAATAAAAAGACTACTCCTGAAAAGAAAAAAAATGTATCAAATAAGAAAATCTAATAAAATAAATCAATATGCCCATATTTCTACAAAAAGAAGTGAAATCCCACCAAAAACATTCTGTAAAAAACTAGCCAAGTCTCGATGGAGCTGCTTGTTACTGCGATTTCTTTATTATTATAGTTAATGTTGTGTAACTTGGCCATTGAAGGGTACACAAGGGTACAAAACCAGGTGCTACATGACACCATTGCACCGATGCATTCATACATGCATCATTATGTGTAAACGCAACTTTATCAAGCCTACAATTGACTGGTTATTCAATCAACGTTTTCCAAGTGGCGATTTTCCATCGTCAATGGGTAGCGGTTCTGGCGACAGATCGGTGCAATGGTGGTTCAACGGCCAAGTCACACAACATTAACTATAATAATAAAGAAATCGCAGTAAGGAACCTTAGACTTGGCACGACTTTGTCTAGATATCATTACTTTTTAGAGTTAAACAAGCAGCTCCATCGAGACTTGGCTAGTTTTTTACAGAATGATTTTGGTGGGTTATAACTTTACAATAACTAAGAAGTTTTAATATATTAATTTAAGGAGTATTGAATTGTCTATTAATTAGAATTTATTTCATTAAGCTAGCATTCTTAATTTGAGAGATTTTTAGGATTCTTTAAGTGACCTGGATATAAACAATTTAAAAAAAACATTTGCAGCATGTATATTGCTGATCACTAAGGCTAAGAACTCACGGAGCGGTTTTTACCCCTGGCGATCGCATGTTTTTATGCTGTCTCGCGTCTAGGGGTGACCCACGTCCCGCGCGCACTCGTAGCGAGTACCGCATATAACCGCGCGCTAAGAGGGCGTGTTTTACGTACCATTTCACATTCTACGCGAGTTGCGATCCCAAAGCCGCGGCGGACGTGGACAAAAGGAACTCCATGAGTTCTTAGCCATCTTTATAATTAGTAAAATAAAAATTAGCTTACGATTACTTACGCCGTGTTTTGTTCATATCACTCAAATCCCTTTTGTGGACTTGAAATGAACAGAGACAAAACATGGAGTAACTAATCCAAGCTAATTCCTCGTTTATTAATAATGGGTGGGTTAATAAATCTTAACTGTCTGATCAATATTTTATTTGGAAACGATATTTTATGGTTCAGTGCACCTTTCTTCTGAAGAACTCTCGTTTTCTTCAGAAGAAAGGTGCACTGAACCATAAATAATTACTTTGAACCACCACAATCTATTTTTTTTTAATAATTATGCGTCAATGCTATAGTCGATCATATTTTTCAGAAGTACTGACAAACTACGGTCGGAGCAATAACAGCAGTCTACGGTGAAAATATATTAGGAACATGCTTTTGATACAAAACAAACGGACTTATAATAAAATTGATGCAATACAGCGATAACAGACAACATGCATGAAAATTTACAGCACAAACCTTGATTGTTGCCAAATTATTGGCCTGATTATTATTAATATGGAATTTATATTTTTTCGCACTGTTTTTAAAATCATGCATATTTATTTACCTCGTCTATTGTGGCGCCAGAAGTGTTTTCGTTGTCCATAGGTTCTGCGGTGGTTTCGCTGCTAGCTGGTTCTCCAGAACTTTCCTATAGTGGGCACATCAACAACATAACTACTCGTTCGACAATATACTAATTGAACGGACAGGTAGCTTTGGCAATTTGCAGGAAATGTGCTTTATTTTGTCATTTGAAACCCTTATACCGACAGCATTACCACTCTCTTATGACTGACATCATCTAGCAATGTCATCAAAGATAAAACGTTCCCTCACGTACTTAACTACATCCTCTAACGAAATTGTGCCCACCAAAGTTAAGAAAGTGATAAATGCTACGCTAATTAACGGAAAAAGATAAGATTACCTGTATGAATCCTACTCAATTATGAATCAAGAATAATTGTTTAAAAAAAATATTAAGTACATTTTCTGCAAATTATGTCATACCCGACACACATATAGACAATAGCATCGGTACATATAGACTAACTAAATACATGCTTCATATGAGGCAAGCATAAACATGCAAGAAACCATATCTAATAAAATGAACCAGATTACCAATATCTCATGAGTGTGAACAATCTTTATCCAATTGTATTAAAAAGGGACTGAAACAGCATGAAAATAAATTATTTGCTATTCTATTTACAAACCTTTCTACTAACAGACGTGAATTAAAATTATAAAGATAAAAATATATATACAGTGGTGGTCGTATAATTAGAAATACTACCAACGGTCCTTGACATTATGTAAGATACTTCACTGCAATTGTTTTTATTTTGAAATTAAACAATAAATAGGACAACAATATGTTCAACAATTTATCGTTTATTAGAATAAATTTAAAAAATCAAAAAACCCGACTGCTTAATTATACTTCAAATAAAAACTGAAAAGAAAAAAACAAGTCCAGTAGTCTATAATTCTGTTAGTAAGGAACAAAGCTACTTTAACAGTCGGGACCCATTAGATATTCAAGAATACATAATATTTTTCAATAATGGGTTCCGACTGTTAAAGTAGCTTTGTTCCTTATTAACAGAATTATAGACTACTGGACTTGTTTTTTTCTTTTCAGTTTTTATTTGAAGTATAATTAAGCAGTCGGGTTTTTTGATTTTTTAAATTTACCTTTTTTATTTCACACTTTTTAGTTAGTATTTTAAGACGGTATATACCGTAGTCTTGTTACTTCAGTAAGGTAATTAATATCGCGGGAATTATTAAGTACCTTGAGGTGGTTAAAAGATTGATTTATTAAGACTTATAGAAACTTTAACAGCGGATCAAGGCTGCAGATGGGCCTCAGTTTTCGCAAAAAATGTGTGAAGTTAAATCAACTCGTTACATAAATATCTAATGTATTTAAATTTTATAGTAAACTAGCACTTATTCAAAAGGTCATGTTTTATTTATGATCTTTTTAGTAGTTTAGCAATAAATATAAAATTCATATACTTTCATTCGTCGACTATTTAAAATTTTCAGTGGCTGCATTTTCTTGTCAACGTTCGGCTCTAAGATTGTGATATACACAAATGCAGTGTCATATCCTAGTCTCATAATTTGATATACCTACATAATTCACAGAAACCCAATATGTAGATGCCAGAAGTTAACTTCAAATGTTGTTAATCATCCTATACAATACCAATCAATGACGTTTATGTCGCAGGTTGAAGAAAGCAGTAATTCCCGTCTGTTGTTTTGGACAATGGTGGCAACTGCCTTAGATCGCTAAATTAAATAATTATGCAATCACCGAAGCAAAGTTTATAATATTTGATTAAACTAAAGGCGCATAATAAAATTTTCATAACGTTAGGGTACGGCCAGAGTGCACTCAGATTCAGATTCAGACTCAGAAAACAAGCGCGAGAAATATACAGTGTGGTTTAAGCAGGTTGCCTGCTGCCACTATGGCCACCCTGCTTATACTACACTGTTTATTTCTCGCGCTTGTTTTCTGAGTCTGAATCTGAATCTGAGTGCACTCTGGCCGTACCCTTAGGTAGAGCACCATAGCAATCTCATTTATTATCATGCGTTCAAATATAACAGGTCAAAGATTTTTGTGATCGACCCTTTTTTATTGGTAGTGTAAAGCTCGAATGAAGAGTACTTCCACCTATCAAGCGTGTTGCTACAAGCCTAGTAGGTATTGCAAATAGTGTAATCAATTATTTTCCAAATATTTTTTTTTTGTGTAAAAAAATACCGAATATCTATCACTGTTAAGCACAAATGCTAAGTAACTTTTACAAATATAATCAAATAAACCTATTACTTACTTTGTTTTAAAATCTTTTTCATCAATCAAATACTATTATCCTATCTATCTATACTAATATTATAAAGAGGCAAGATTTGTATGTTTGTAACAAATAATCTGTCAAACTACTGAACCGGTTTCAAATATATTATTCATCATAAGGTAGCTTCATTATTTATTATTACATTTTTCTTTATTTAAATACATTTTTTCCAAATGACATAGGCTATATTTTATCCCGATAAAATAAATTTCACCCGTACAATGCCCGGGTGGATCACTAGTAAGTATAATATAACAGTGATGTAACGAATGTCATTTTTTGAACATTCGCGAATGCGAATATTTAGTTTTTTTTTAAATTGGCACCAATTGTCTATGGCATGGTGGCAGTCTCGTTCGAATTGCCGAATTGATATGAACTCATCCGACTGAAGTGTCATTCTGCTCGCACCGGTCTTTCCGTAAACAAAACAAGTGAATTTTGATGTTAGTGATTGTGAGTGGTAATAGTGATTTATTAACATGAGTAAATCGAATTCTAGTGAAACATGGACTTATTTCACACTTTGCGATGCTGAACGAGCTAAATGCAAACTGTGTAACAATGAATATTCAAGGAAAGGCAGAACTACAACTTCTTTAAATAGGGAAGATGCAATATTTTTATTTTTGTTTTCATTTTAAAGAATTCCATGTAGAATAAACCACAGATATATTAAAAAATTAAAACATTGTGATTTATCGGAAAAAATGCGGTTTTAAATTGACAATTTAAATTTTCGCGCGAAAACGAACCTATGGTTGCGATGACGTCACTCCTGTCTGTCAATGGTCGTAATTGTTCGTTGCTGGCTTTAAATTTTCATACTTTTGCATATTTTTTCGACTTTCGAAATATTTTTTTGAAAATTTTTAAATGGACTATCCATCAACATCATGTGATCATAACAATACCACTAATATTCCGAATAAAAGCCGTGTTGACTCATGTTTTGTGCCAATCTACTTCAACAAAGTTCCCAATTAAATTGTTTTTGACTGGAACTTCTGACTCAAAACTGAAAAAAAAGTGGTTTCAAGCTGCGAAGAGAAATGACAATTATTCTCCAAAGACCATTATTCGATGCTGAGAAGATCACTTTGACGTAAGTCGGCGAATATACTTGTTATATGCTTAATTAATCTGCTTGTACGTAAAAACGCATCAGTAACCTACCTAATACTTACAAAACCTGTCTATAACATATTTTTAATTTTACAGTTGGAGAATGACGTCGAAAATTAGATAAAGTTTAAAATGTGTGGCACAATCTTCACATTGGCAGGACTGAACCAAGCTTTGCGTTTCATTTAAAATAACTGTAACACGATAACCTTCTTTACGTACTTTTTGCTCCGGAGAACTCGACCTTTTACTGTACATAATTTTCCATCTCTTTTAATTTGGACATAGCCGATTGCATTATCGCCGTAAGATTTGTGGAAGCCGCTGAATAAAATACGAAGTTTAACAACTACGGTTTTTACATACCGTAGTAATTTAGTCCCTTTCATTTCTACACTTAAAAACTCTGCACTTTGGACAAAAAAAGTTATAACCATGTCAACGCTAACTCTTGGTAAATTCCTGGAGTCTGCTTTGATAAACGCAACTTCCATTTTTATTAAATGTAAAAAAACGCAATAAATATTCCCATAAAATAATATTTACTTTAACAACCATAACCTCAAAGAAGTTGTCATAACAGGAGTGACGTCACTAAACGCTGATTGGTGTTTTAAAATACGTTCCGTTTCAAGTATTTTTAATTCGTAATAATTGTTAAAAAACAACATTATGTAAAATAAAAACGTTGCAGTGGCATTTCTTTTATATTTTTTTAACATTTTAATCATAAAATTTTCATAAATATTATATATGCATCTTCCCTATTGTTTTTTTCTAATATTCATATTCGCAAAACATTCGCAGAGATTTTGCGAATGCGAATGCGAATATTCAAAATTTGCGAATATTCGCGAATGCGAATGCGAATATTCGTTAAATCACTATAATATAATATTAAACGAAAGTGAGTTTGTATGTTGCGCTTCCGTGCCCTTATAGCTAAATCGATTATAATGAATTCCCCTATAGAAGTAGATGGGAACTTGGTTCTTAGCTACAACATCGCAATACTTACAGGCGTAGGGTGATGAAAGGGGTAATTTACCTATAAAAATCTATATTATTGAATTTTGCAGAATCATCGTTTATAATTACCAAACCAATATTATCGCGAGCTGATTAATAAATACAAGGATTCCAATAAGTATGTACCTACTAGCGAAAAATGGGTTATTTGTCATTATATTAAGTAAACCTTTTTTGTAACATTAAGTAATATCAAATAAAACTAGTTTTTACTGGTTAATGCACGAAACTTTATTTATTTATTGACGATTTATTGAAACTAGTTTTATTTAATGAGTGATGTGCGTAAACCTAAGAAACAATTAAGTAATATCGTTAAAAAAATAAACAGTATAATTCTTTTATTAATTAAGAGTTTTTTATTACTATTCAATAATCATTAATACCTATTATGATAATTTATTTTTATCATTTAATAAGAAGGAACTGTATCAGAGTTTTATTGTAAGTACTTCGTATAGGATCAGATACTGCGAGTAGCCCATTTTTTTCTTTTTATTAGCCTAGGTTTTATCCACGTTTATAAACACCTAAATTAAATTTCTTCTCGTAGTATTCCTGCAGAGTACACCGCGCTATCACTTTATCATCGTTGTAAATTTTTAAATATTTGTCGAAATGACATAGTGTAGAAGGCAAAGTTTAACGACTTTCAATTTCAAAAGCGATAAAAGTATTTATTTTAATACAAAACTATTTTTTTTAATCCAAAATGTGCATTTTGGAAATGGATATCAAATAATATTTTATTTTTGATTCACTGTTTTAGCGATAATGGCTTACACATTAAAAATAGATATATTCTGTCGCAGACTTTTTTGTAGAACTATTTAAGAGATACATTATCACGATACATTATATTCATGTAACTTTTACTGTTTTTGCAGTGCAGGCTGAAATGGCTCGCAGATGGGAATTTTTTTTCCGCCTTACGTGACACTTATTGTTATATTTTGGCCTATTCACTCAAAAGCTACAAAAATTATAATCTATGTGTTATTATTATGTATGAACTATATTGTTGTTAAGTTGCATTAAAATCCATTCAGTATTTTTTGGGTGAAAGAGTAACAAAGATCCACTATACAAACGTAAGATTGAAATTCAAAGCGTAAGTCCCTTATATGCAACTTTAAATCGTTGTAGATCCTAAACTATCAAATTAAATGAAAAATGGTGTTAGAAACCTTAACATAATTTTCGATTATCTAGACAGTGATACCCCACTCGACATATTTTGTCAACTTATTTTTTTTACTTCGTCACAATATGGCGCCTAATTTTGTCCATATTGAATTTTGATTACTATCATATCTTTAGTAGCACTCCCATGATTAAGACGAATCGATTGATGTATGAATCATCAAAATCGGTCCAGGCGTTTGGTCTCTAGTGTGCCACAAAGGAACAAACATACATATATAGACTGTTAAACACTATACCCTGTCTGCGAGTCGCGCTTCGCGCTCTTGCATTGCGCAGTCGCGTAAAAACAATATAAATCCCATTATAAGTGCAGTTTCAATATTAGATTACGGATAAACATTTAAATCAGTTTTAAGGTATGAACAATAATGGTCAACTAATTAGAAACAACAACAAAAACATATAAATAACATTTTTTTTTTTAATTATTTGTATTGTTATTTACGAAAAAGCTACTATCCACCACAGCCTACCAACAGTTATAATTAATAATAAGTGGCGTATCCCTTATTTCCAATAACAGCACTGCAACGACGTGGCATTGATTCAATCAATTTCATACATTTTTGTAGGGGGATCGAATTCCATGATTCAATTTATGCTTCATATAGTTCGTTTTGACTGGTGTTACGTTTGACTGAGACTAAATCTGGACTATTTGCTGGCCAGTCTAAAACGGATATACGCTGTTCACTAAGGAAACATTTGATGCTATCGGCCGTGTATTTAGGGTCATTGTCATGCTGAAAGATCCAGGTTATAGGCAAAGTATCGTCCGATGAGGGAATCACTGTGTGCTCTAAGATATTTTTGTATAGCATCCATTGTACGTTCAATCTTCTGAACGAACCCACCTCATAATCCGGAAAAACACCTCTAAACTTTAATGTTACCACCACCGTGCTTGACTATACTTCTTTGTATTTAAATTAAAAGCATTGTATACAGGACGTCTAACATAGCGCTTTCCATCGGAATTTACCATATTTATTTTTGTTAAATCTGAAAATAACACTTTTTTCCATTTTTTAGCAAATAATAATCGCTTCTCTCGGCTTTGTTTGGTAAGAAACGGTACCTTTCGAGCGATTCTTCCTAACAATTTAGCCTCCACTAATCTTCGGCGTATCAGTCTTGGTGAGATGTTTTTCGGGTCATCAGGCGAAAAAACTTCATTTTTAATTTGATTCGAGCCTTTACTGGGGTCTTCTTTAGCAACACGAAGATTAGCGTATCTTCTTAGGAAGAGGTTTTTCTTGGCCGAGCCTTTCTAAGAACATTTTCAACAGTTCCATGTGTTTCATAATAATCAATTGCATTAAAAACTTTCTCAACAGAACAATTGTTATGTTCAGCTATTCTTCTGTACGCCTACATATGATTTATATGTAAATTAGAAGTGATACTTTCTTTATTCATAACATGTGTTTCTTATTATATCACCACCACTGTATATGCTGGGCCTGATTCTGGCATGACTCTCTAATCCTAAAACTAAATTTGATAACAGTCTCTCCTTTTCATTTTATGCAAGTAGTAAGTATGAGCCTGATAAAGATACACAATGGTTAAATTTAATTTTAAGTTTAAAGAATCATGCTAGATTTGGTCCCATATAACCTTTTATAGTTAAGCGAACGCTGTTTTAAACTACGCATATTTTCTTTCCATAATCATTTGAAATAAGATAGTTTTTTAATTTATGAGAACATCTCCGAATTGCTAAGATAGAATCAAATGTTTAGCGCAATCAGTTGTACCCCTGTAACAGACTGCTCTACTGCACAGCGTGTGAAAAACTGCATGCAGCACGTTATTTCAAATGCTACAAGAAAGAGCCTCTATCACATTAAAACTAGTTAAGGATCTAAGTTCTAAAATAGTTGCAAACTTTCTTGTGATTTTTCACATTCAGGATTCATTTAGATTCTAACTCTTTTTTAATAATGGCATGCTGAAACGTTTCCTAGTTACATTTTCGTAACAGAACTATTAAATACCTGCTCATCGTAATGCTTCTTTTCATATCCTAAGACCTAATGTATAGAGAAGGGTATTTATATGTATTTGTTTGTTACAGAGGAGCTGGCGAACAAAACGGTATAATTATGCATGTGGTGAAACTACTTTTTTTTTACAGTCCGGAGGTTTCGTACCCATTGAGTTTGAATCTCAACTAATTTTCAATCAAAACCACCTAAAACAGTGTTGCTCACTGGAGGTATTTCATTCAGTTTTATACAGCTCATGTAAAATTTATTTTTATGCAATTATACCGTTTTGTTCACCAGCTCCTCATGTACTGTAACAAAAACATCCCACCTCGCCAGCGATGTGGGCTCGAAGAATGGCTAATGAAGCCTTTATTTCCGCAATCATACGCCGTATGGTTTCCAAGCGTCCTGCAGTTGGTGACAGCGACATCTGTTGGTGATGGTCAATCACGAAATCTGGTGCTCCGGCCAAAGACTAAATGAAAAACAAAATGTTAATGTAATTAGTGATGTCATTAAAAATAGAATATTTATTATATTATATAGAAGAGAATAGAATTATTTGTATTCTGTACTTATTATCAAATTCTGCAAATAAGTTTAATTAAGACTTTAAATATTACGTTATAATCTTCTTTGGTTATTATTAAATACTGTAAATAATAAAAGGCCGCATAACTTTTAGGTAACATTATAGTCCGAATTCCATATATCGTACTGATCATAAACAATTGAGTTTTTTAGTTTCTCATTAATTTTAATTTACATTAAAAATCTTAAACAATTCATTTAGGTACAAATTGTTGTGTGTGAACAATATTTTTATCCTATCAGCAGCCCTAGCATCACCTAAGATTGCAGCAATGCCGCGCGGCTGCGAATCGGTAACAACTCTATAGTCTAGGGCATTAGGCATAATTTAGCACGCAGCGTTTGCCGACGCGTAGCGGTGGGATGAAGTAGGCTATCATCGCTGTAGGTTTACGAATTTGTATATGGAGTGATTTATCTTTACGTATTTTTTTATTATATATTTAGTATTTTTTTAAGGTTAACAAAGAGAACTTACGTTGACCATGATGCGTCGGATTTCCTGTTGCATAGCAGCATTTTCCGGGTCTTCGGCATTGTTGCTGTATGGTGTGTTAGAGATGTGGAAGTATCTTCCCCTGGAGCCACGCAAGCCACCTCCACTCGCGAGGCCGCTGGTGCCACCGCTGCCGCTGCTACCTCCGACGGCGCCACTGCCGCTGCCATGCGCCGTCCTGTTCTCAGGGCACGGAGGAGCACGCTGCACTAAGTGCACAACCTTCCCGTCGACATCTAGGCAATTATAACGTTTAATTTAACACCTATTTGTATGTGGTCGGTAAATATGATAAATCAAATTTTCCCAAACATCCTAGGGATTTTTCGAAAACACGAATAAAATAAAAAGACAATGCGATGACATTGCTTAATCTTACTATTAACGTCTTTTTTTTCTGGCGCTTCATGGTCAAGAACACTAACCTTTTTTTTCTAACTTTTTGTGAACCCAAGAATATTCATAATAAGCCAACGATTCTTTTCGTAATATATCTAAGGCGACTCACGTTTACACAAAAATCTTTTATTAGTATGATTGAAAATTAGACTGTTGACTAGGGATTTTGTGAAAACATAAAATTATAAGAAAATTATTAAAAATGTAGGTATAGTTTAGCTTACCATAATCAGTTAGCTTCTTTTCATCTTGCATAACCCTACCACAGAAGATGAGACGTTGCAGATTAGTTTCAATTCCCATCTTCTCCCTAACCTTCTCCTTGAGCTGTTGCACAGTGGTCTGAAACATTCCGTTTTTTAATATGATATAACTTGAAAATATATTTATATAAGATATTAAAGAATCAGAAAATATGAATATAATTTTGGTTTACTTTAAAGGTTAGGTTACTATTTAAGAACTTGCAACAATAACAATCAATTGTATTTGAAATTAAATCATAAATATATGTATTATTTAATTTGGACATTCAACAACTGTTTTGTAGCCATTGTGTTACAACTGATCAGCATTCCATATTCATTATGTTCTTAGCTAAGTAATTCAACTAAAATTCATTAGGTTTTAATAAATAATGTAGAAGAATATTGAAAAGTAATATAATTGTAAAACTATACAGCTAGTATTCCACAGAAACATTTTCATGAAAACAAGTGAGTAAAAAGGTACCTAACTTAAGTCACATTGATTGACTATCACTTAGGCACATGTAGATGCTTTTAAGATATGTTTTAATTTCTCCTCATTTTATGAGATTACCTTGAACCAAATATCTCTTAAAAAGTGATACAACACTGAATAGTGTTGTACCTAAATTCATAATCAATTATTTGGTTTAGTTTGTAATTATCCCAGCATTTCAATCAAAACACAATTATGAGGTAGGTACGCAAAGCAAACATTTTACAATAAAAATAGAAGAATTCCAAACAACTCACTACTATTTAGTCTCAAAATAAGCAGATTGTACTATAGTTAAATACCATACAATATATAAATATGATGATAGTACACAATGATTGTTAAGCATAATGTTTAGCAACTTTCGCAAGGGCTGGCCATAAGATGAGTGAGGGTAATTTCTATGTTATGTCTTTAAATTGTGAGTTGTTGTTGATGACCTTATGAAAAAAAATGTTTTACTGTTATATTTTCCAACATTTGGATCTATGTTGTCTGATGATAAAAAAAATATAATTATTATATTATGAGCTACTCTGAGCTTAAGAATCCATGTTTAGTCATTGGTCCCAGCTGCATCTGCAATCACTAGAACCCACCATTCTGCACTGAGTCCCCTTAAGTGAACCTGCATATTCCATACATAGGGAAGATCTCTACTCCAGCAGTGGAGATATTAATAGGCTGATGATAATATAAATATTTAAACAACCCTGGTTTTAAATTGAGTATTTGTGCTCAACAACTGGCATATGATTCAAACCCAGGGCCTTTGCTGCATACAAGACCTCTAGAGCTCTTGATAGATATGATAGCTCTAGAGCTAGGCAACTGCTTCAGACATTATAAATAGTAAAAAAGTCCCTTGCTGAGTTGTCTCTATACCCAAAAGGGATATGGCCCAGGATGGCAGGCTGTGAGGGGTGGCAGAGATCATAAAAGTCATTTGTTACTAATCTATATTTTCATAAGTGACTCAGGACACCAGATTTGTAAATATGCTCTTGTGTATACCTGCTCAATATTCTTAAAGCACACAATGCAATTAGATGTGAACAAAATATTATACTAATTAACAAACAGTGAAGACAAGTCGCTAGTGTCCGATGATAATACTAATTGTTAGTTAACATTTCGCTAAGCATTGGATTCACTAACTCAAACTCAAATCATTTATTGCAACCATAATGTGTACAGTGGGTGGTAGGTACTTATATAAATATGAGCATTATGGACCCTGTTAGGCACGCAATTGGTTATTAGAAGAGAGGAAGAGCTTCCCTAATGAACAAAACTAACACTAAAATTATAATTGGAGGATAGAGTTTGTTTCATATGTTTATTTTTGATTGTGTTAATCGGATTTTTATTTAGATTATCACTATCTGATTAAATTATAATTAATAATATTAATTTCACAAAATAAAAAAAAAAAAAAAATTAATAAAATAAAATTATCAACTATCTATCACTTGTATGTGTATATTAATAATTACTAATTTTAACCTTAAAATAACATTTTTAATTAAAAATTTCTTTAACTTTTTTATAAATGTTAAGTAATTATTTTCAATTAATAATTATTGTATTAGGAAATTTGTTCAAAATTTTAATAGATGAAGTAAATGTGCTTGATGATGTTAGTTTTAATCTAGAATTATTTAGAATTAATATTTATTTATTTTTGTGTAGAGATGTGTCTAGATAGAATGTCTTGTCGTCTAGTGTAGAATTTGCTATGCTTGCATACAAATTTGCATATTTCCAAAATATAACCACGGCAGTGGAAGTATAAGTAATACTCTTGAAAGTATATATTGAATCCCTATTTATTCTTATTATTTATTATTTCCCTTAACAAACTAAGATTATAACAAAGCTCCCTGCTTTACTTGTTTTATGTTTGTGTTGTCCTAATTGTGACGTTTTTCTTTACAGGTAAAAGTGCTTATAAAATAGGTAAACAAAATTCTGATTTTTAACTGTCATTCCCTTACGTGTAATGGCTAATCACTTGACATTGGCGGAGCTGTGCTAAGTCACAACGCAAGCCATCATAAAAGAAGAAGAAGAAGAAGAAAATTCGATATTGGTTTGTGCTGATACTGATCCTTTCAAAAAAAACGAAAATACTAATTAATAACAATAATAAAAAAGTAAATGATAATTACATTTCAATACTAACATCACTAGTCCAGAAAAAATCCACTTAAAGCCACCACAATATTTAGAAATGGGATAGTATTATTGTATTAACATCTCAACACTTCTTAATCCCTGTTATTGCAGCCTCTACAGTTCTTTTCAATGTGTTCAATAATTTTATTTGATGTGTATTATACACAAAATCATAAGAAAATTATGATAGAATCAGATTAGATATTTGTACAATAGTAACAGGTCTCAATAAGATTTTGGAGGTGAAGCATTATATTGTCCTTAGTCCTTATGACTAGAGAAGTCCTGAAAATCCTACCAAAAGTTACTGATGTTGCTGAAGTTTTAAACATCAAACGCTTCCCTGCAAAAGCATTCATTTTTATTTAATATCAGATAAAAGTTTTAATCTGCCTGTTAGCTGTCTGCGAATTAGCGCCTCGCTTTTGCAGTCGGTGTGGAGTTATTCAGGAAGCCTTTTTAATGAAACAGTTTGATAACATCTTCATAGTGAGAAGATCTTGAATTGACATTCCTAATTGAAATTTTCTCAGTACCAATTTCGCCACACAATTTACATATCGGCATCACCGCAATCGCATTAGATCAAGGTATATTCTAAAAATATGTATTGATCAAGACACATTAACATTTTATGCCTACCCTCCCTCCCAACTTAACGTGACGACAACGTATCGATATTCCATTCCAACAAGACTGAAATTGAAACTGTAATTAAATTTAATATTTTATAAACTCACCTCATCGTTCACAGTGAAGTGATGATTGTTGGAATCTAACGTTTTTATGGTGAATTCAATCATTTTGTACGCCTCAGTGAGGTAGAAATTTCGACCATAGAGTACCTACTTTTTTCGATATACGGATTATTACGACGCGTGCGCGGATGTTTATGTAAAGTGGTATTTTAATTAATCACAAACATTGTACTTTTAAGCAAAAAGTAGAAACACACGACAGATAGTCAATTTTAATTAGAAAACTTTTGAAAATTTAGTGAATACTGAAAATGTCTGCTATGATTTTCCAGGTGCTAACACTCACTCTATATTTTGTCTATAGCATGCCTGCTAGTGTTGCCGGAAAATCGATAAATTAACCATAGACTAAATGGTCTCTATGCAGGCGTGATTCTCTAAACCTCAACTTAAATTTGACAATAGTGGTGGTTTTCCAATTACAGAGCATAATGCGACTCAGTGCCGAACAATGCCGAATTATGCTGATGCTTAATTGGAATGTGAATTAGTTTTAAAATGCACCAGCAGAGTGCGCTAAGTTCAGTATAGAAAAAAAAAGTCAATGTTTGTACCTCCATCCATATTTATATTGAATTTTTAACACAGTTTGAATTAAGTTTGATTATTTAAAAAAAACTATGATGAAACGAAAGTTTAAATAATTTTTCAACAATAAATAATATTACTAACGATAACATATAAATAAAACATTTCGATCAATGCCAACTTCAAGAAAAAACACTTGTTAATTTTCTGTCTCTGAGTTGGTACGATTGCACGCATCACACGAAAGCATTACTTTTGAGAGTGCTCAATTGTGCGAAGCATTGCTGTAGTTGGAACACTCAACGTTAAGCATTATGCCGCAAAATGCGCTATAATACTGTAATTGGAAAGCTACCAGTGGTGGTTTTCCAATTACAGAGCATAATGCGACTCAGTGCCGCACAATGCCGAATTATGCTGATGCTTAATTGGAACGTGAATTAGTTTTCAAATGCACCAGCAGAGTGCGCTAAGTTCAGTGTTGAAAAAAAAAGTCAATGTTAGTACCTTCATCTATATTTATATTTAATTTTTAACACAGTTTGAATTAACTTTGATTATTTAAAAAAAAAACTATGATGAAACGAAAGTTTTAATAATTTTTCAACAATAAATAATATTACTAATGATAACATATAAATAAATCATTTCGATCAATGCCAACTTAAAGAAAAAACACTTGTTAATTTTCTGTCTCTAAGTTGGTACGATTGCACGCATCGCACGAAAGCATCACTTTTGAGAGTGCTCAATTGTGCGAAGCGTTGCTGTAGTTGGAACACTCAACGTTAAGCATTATGCCGCATAATGCGCTATAATCGTATCCCTGCCATTGTCTACAGAATGTTAAGGTTTTACCCGACTGAATACAAGTCGGGCAAATACCAGACTTTCGTATTGCCAAATTAGAATCGTGTATGACGTATCTTTAACTATAAAACATCATACAGTTTGTCTATAAAGTCGTAACATGAATGTTTGAGGAACTAACATTATTCATGTGTCTGGCAACACCAAACTTATGTACATCAGCTGTCATCGAGTTCCAGTTGTGGAACAGTTTGGATTAAACTGTAATAAATTAAGACGAAACTACGCAGAAAGGTATAAAAATGAGTAAAGTAAATCGGAGTGGCACGGGGGAAGTGATTTTTAAAGTTTTCCAGAGATGTTTCGAAGACTACCAAGCTGGACGAATTTTGTGGGATTTGGACGATGTTTATGGGCGAACAGCATCTATGACGGGTATGTAATCGTGTAACTATTTGTTTGTAATCTGCCTGAAGTTACAAATTTACACAATTTACGATTTTGAGACCAAAAAAGGCATTGTTTACATTGCAGATTTTTAGGTTTAGACAAGGGTCGATAATTTTAAAAATGGTGAAAAGTGAAAAAAAAATATAGTAGGATGAAACCCATTAGAAAAGGTAGAGAATATAACAAAAATGAAAGGAAAAATAAATTACGGGCGATCTGAGGTCGGGAAGGGGGAGGGGGTGAGTTTTTAAGGGTAAAAAATGGTTAATCTCGACTTCCGGTAAAGCTGCAAATCCTATGAAAAAAATGGTTGCCTGTAAAGTCGGTTTTACGGACGAAGATTTTACGTGACAACGTCTTTTTCTCGGTAGAATATTTATTGATATGAATATAATTAAATTGCACAATAGGAACAAGGAATTGAATGAAAATAAGAATTGCACAAATTTTAACTATAGAAATATATTTTGTTTACTAAAACATTGTACATGTAAACTTAAACTTAACACGAGAGACTCATCGTAACGTTACCGAGCGTTACACTTTTTCATAAGTGACTCCCAGCCGCAACCTAATTTAAGACGTTGTCACGTCAAAAAGTTAATTGGCAAAGTTGTAGGTAATAAAAAGATCTACAACTTTTGTATCGACACTTTTTTCACTTAACCTCCAAATTTATGTGAAAAATGTGAATAACCGAGTTTTTGGTTTTAGATTTTTCTTTTTTGCAAAAAAAATTATTTTTTCTCGAAATTTGGTGAAAACTTACCTTGGTTTGTCCCAAACATACAGTACTTTTTTTGATTTAAAATATTCATTTTTTCAACTTATTTTGACTTAATATCCAAAAAGCACCCTAATTTTCAATCGAAAATTCTCACATCGAAATATCTGCTTTTTTAAAAAAGTTGGGGTGTTTTTTGTTTGATGATACAAAAGTTGAAACAAAAGTTGTAGATCTTTTTATTACCTACAACTTTGCCATTTAATTTTTTTTCATAGGACTTGCAGTTTTACCGGAAATCGAGATTAATCATTTTTTACCCTCAACTTTTTAAAAACTCACCCCCTCCCCCTTCCCGACCTCAAATCGCCCGTAATTTATTTTTCCTTTCATTTTTGTTAAATTCTCTACCTTTTATAATGGGTTTCATCCTACTATAATTTTTTTTGGTCTCAAAAATTATCGACCCTGTTCTAGTTAGATTGACATTGTAAATAGGTAATATTGTAGTACGACCATTTCTTTTGATACATTATTATGGTTCAACTCGGTCAGGTTTTCTACCAATTTTGAATTAATTACTTCATGTCAATAAGTTATTGTTTCTATTCCGTTACATATTTTTTTACTGTTTTTCAGGAAAATCAGAGAATGAGATAGTCAACGAAGGTTTTAAGAATGATGGAAAGTTTGAAACTCCTGGGAAAACAGGCAAGGCCGACCAAAGAAAGAAATGGTCACATAAAGAACCATGGCCAGATGCTGTTAGTGAAGAAACCTATCACTTTTACTAACTGCACATTTACAAATTGTTTCTCTAAATAAACTTTTTATATACTATAAAATGATTTTTAGTATTATTTTCTTAACAAGTGTGTTAAAAAACGTCGTATGATGATACTTGTGTGTATTGATGATTACCTAACGGCTCTGGTCTCAATGGCACCTCAGCGGTAATCACCAACATTACACACTTTTACACTATAAAGTACTATTTTATCTATAATAATTTTATTCTGATTGAATTAAATATGCTTGGCTAACCTTTTTATAAGCATAGGTACCTACTATATATAAAACAGAAACAAAATACGACTGTATAGTGTGTCTTATTAATTAGGTACCTATTTTACTTGAATGAACTGCTAGTATCAAAATCATTTTGGTCCGACTGTATAGGGTTGCTACATGCATACTAGTGGCGCCATCATTTAATGTCACGACTTTATAGACAAACTGTAGTATAGGATGTAAAGATATACTTAAACCTAGGTTTCAGTACTCAGAGAGATAGACAGAGTAGCTGTTGCTGGTGTTCCAAAAATTTAATTATGAGTGGCATTTTTAAAATTCCATAAGCGATAAACCTCTCGTCTTACTACAAAAAGTTCGACACGGTGTCAAACGTTGTTTAAGAAAATTTTGTAGGTAAGTTATTTTTTAATATTACTTTACCGTAAAATCTAATTTACAAACTGAATAATAAAAGGAATTTTCTTGTGTTTAATGTAGATGCCAATATAAATAAAATAGTTAATTTAGTTTATTTATAACATTTCATATTTTTTGTAATTTTAGGTAGCTAAATATAAATAATAAAAATAAGGCTCTGAAAGATAACTGTTTAAAGCAACAGAAGAAAATAAAATGCCTGAATGAAAAACTTAGACGTAAAGAGAAGAAAATTGCCAATTTGATAGATATTATTGAATATCCTCCACAAAAAATCGAATAAGCATGGAACAGGCTATTTTGATCGAAGATTTAGCAGGACCCCAGGACTTCTTAAAATAAAAAGACAAGTTATGCAGACGAAACAATCTCTACCAAATAAAGTTAACATCTTAGTTATCTTGCGATCGAAGTCGCGAGTAACATCTAGTTATTAATATATTGTATTAAGCTGACTAGTAGACTTGTGCTTGTGGGTGCCGCGCTCAGAGATAATTCAAATACTGACGCCGGAGAGGCACACTCACGTTAGAGAATAAGAAAATTCTTTTTTGCGAGTCGGTGTGGTACAAGTACAGAACTTAGTGTATAGTTAGTATTACAATACAACAGTCTTGTTCGTTAACAATAGCGGAGGCTTTATATAGAAAGATAATAATTGACTTTTATGTGTATTATTAGATATAAAGAACAATGCTAATAATGTATATTTTTTTATAAATCTTTTTATTTAATATCGTTATCTTAAAACAAGGAACGGAAGCTATTATCAGTCAGTTTTGTTCTGGGTAAATGTTTTAAGAATAATATTGAATAGTGTGGTAGTGGCAGTCCTAGGCAATGGCAGCCATTTTATGCAACGAATCTATGAGTTAGGTATGCACATTTTTATAGGTATTTCCAGTTCTCTTACTTCTTTGGTCATAGGTCAAACCTCGAAAGAAAGAAATAGGGATGATAATCTAAGCCAAAATAATCGGTTATTTTAACTGTGTCGATACATGTAATTTGCATTTGATTTTATTCGATAACTAATCGACTTTTCCCGTTACTATTGCAAAGTGTCAAAACGGCCTTCAAGGCGTTTGGTGACTATAGAGTGTGACAAGGATCATTAATATGATTGACAGTTCAGGTAGGGCGCTGCTGTCTACGATAATGACCGTAAATGATGACATTTACGGTCGTTATCTATGTAAACGTCATATCCTGTATGATACAAGATATGACGTTTACATAGATAACGGGGATGGATCCAATTTTCACCACATTCATAAAGATCCTTGTGATACAATACTTAAAGACAGATAAGGTTTAAAACAACAGTGGTAATTTATGGACAAAGCTGTTGAAGCTTGTAATAGTGATTTTCGAGGTGTGTTTAATGTTTAGGCTTTGTTTATGTATTAGGTGATAGATCCATAAATATTTAAGGTCATGGCGATTAATCGATGTAAAATTATAGATTGGAAGTTTTTAATTTATAGATTAATTGTTTATTTCTTAAAATTTAACATACAATTTTACCATCAATCGATTAATCACATCGATATCGAACATCCCTAGATAGAAATCTTTCCTTCCTTTCACGGCCGTAAAACTTAAAAAAAAACTTTTTTCCTACTTTCTTCTTCTTGAGTAGTCTGTGCTTTGTTGCCAGGTCACCAAATTTTACAGAAGATCTCCTGTTTTTCTGAAATTTCTCCTGTTCTTCTGTTTCCTACATGAATCTACGGTTTTTCTTAGAATACGATTTTCTTTTTAGGTTGTCGTACCTCAAAGGGAAAAAACGGAACCTTTATGGGATCACCTTGTTGTCCGTCCGTCCGTCCGTCTGTCAAGACCGTTTTTCTCAGGAACGCGTGAAGGTATCAAACTGAAATTCATATCTAATACTCAGGTCTACTGTCTCTTGGAGCTGTGAAAAAATCAAACTTCTAAGCCAAAGCCATCAAAAGATACAGCTGTTTATGCCGAAAACTTCCTTACTATTTTTTTAATTCCTAAAGTAGGTAACCACAATTATAATAAACCAACCGTAACGTACCAACTTAGAGACAGAAAATTAACAAGTGTTTTCTTCTTTAAGTTGGCATTAAATATAAGTATGGATGAAGGTACAAACATTGACTTTTTTTTTTCAACACTGAACTTAGCGCACTCTGCTGGTGCATTAGAAAACTAATTCACGTTCCAATTAAGCATCAGCATAATTCAGCATTGTGCAGCACTGAGTCGCATTATGCTCTGTAACTGGAAAGCAACCATTGTGTTTTCTTTCCATATATCTTCTGCTTCTTTCTATAACGCCTCCCGATTTTAAAAATCGGACTTGGCAACACTGGTAGCATTTAAAAAAAAACAAGTAGTCTGTGAAGATCTTTAGACATTTAGGGTGCGGCCAGAGTGCACTCAGATTCAGAATCAGATTCAGATTCTGAAAACAAGCGCGAGAAATAAACAGTGTAGTCTAAGCAGGTTGCCTGCTTTTTGTCGCGCTTTGTTTTCTGAGTCTGAATCTGAATCTGAATCAGGAGTGCACTCTGGCCGTACCCTTCGGGTGCGGCCAGAGTGCACTCAGATTCAGATTTCGAAAACAAGCGCGAGAAATAAACAGTGTAGTCTAAGCAGGTTGCTTGCTTTTTCTCGCGCTTTGTTTTCTGAGTCTGAATCTGAGTCTGAATCAGGAGTGCACTCTGGTCGTACCCTTCGACTACACTGTTTATTTCTCGCGCTTGTTTTCGAAATCTGAATCTGAATCTGAATCTGAGTGCACTCTGGCCGCACCCTTCGACTACACTGTTTATTTCTCGCGCTTGTTTTCGGAATCTGAATCTGAGTGCACTCTGGCCGCACCCTTAGAGTGATCTGTTATCTTTAGCAGTGCTCAATGGAGACCCATTGTACAGAAGAAAATACAGATCTGGATCACATATTATTGACCTGCCCAAAGTTTAACTTACAACGGTTATTTTTGGTTAGCAAAGTGAGTGACATTTGTGAACGGAACAAAATATGCATTCCCCGCCGCGTTCAGGAATTGCTTAGTAACGCAGATTTTTATATACCATTATTTAATTTTATAGAAAATACTGTAGATAAAATTTAGTTTTTAATAGATTATTTTTGATATTGGAAATAATTAAATTAAAGTTCTTAAAACAATATTTTTCCAATTTGTCATATTTTTGTTTATATAAAAAATAATTGATAGTATATAAGTTCCTTGTATAATTGTTTCTTTCAAATTATTTCTTTATAAATTTTCATTGTTTTGTATTACATAAGTATACGACTGAAGAACTTGTATCCATGGTCATGAATAAATTAAAAAAAAAACAACTAATCTGTGTGCTGAACTGAATTTGGGGTGTATTCCGAAATATACATCAGTATACTGGCCAGTGGTATTGACGTTTCGAATCATCCGACGCCATGCCATATTGTACTGGTATGCTACCATATTTTTACCGGGAAAACGAATATGACTTATGGCCGAGCGTGCGTGAGATGCATTCGAATTTATTTCTTTTTTATTTAAAGAACAATAATGGCATCCGAAACAAAGAATTCCTTTTAATTGTTGAGTTGAATAAAAATTTTCTTTATCCGTACTATATTTAATATTTCGTCGATCTATGACGTCAGTGCACTGGCCAGTATATTTCGGAACAATTCATCAGTATAGCGTCGATTCATGACGTCATTACATTAGCACTGGCCAGTATACTGGTTTAAATTACGGAATACACCCTTGATCACGGCTGGCTGGATTCGCTCAGAAAAGTTAAAAATACATAAAGTAATAACTGGCAAAAGATCAGGGTGAGGGACAGTTCCTTGTGCGAGTGTGGTATCGACGAGGGTACCACAGATCATATCTTTTTTAATTGCTCCAAAAATAGCAATTCCCTCTGTTCCCTCTATTCATTGCTTCCGTCACATGTCCATCTTCGTACAGATTTTTCAACTATATTATCTTTAGTTTATTCAGATTTTGTGAATATTCTGTGTATGTATATTGATTCTAACAATATTAAATTGTAGATATAGTTTCACTGGTACTCATATCTCAGCTTTATTACTTATTGTTTCAGGCAGCTCAACATATTATACCTTAACCTTTCCTTTCTGTTTTTCCCTATTCTTTCCCCAAATCCTAGGTCCTTGTACTTGCACAAAGCCCTTCCACACCATAAGCAGAGTTTAAGACAATAAACAAGCCCTCACCGAACAAACATAGACAAGAAATTTTGGACACAAACACCAGATATTGGCCAAATCCTGAGGGAGCCATCACTGAAGAAATCTAATCTAATATCTGGCAAAGAAATCCGAACAGTAAATTAAATCCAAGACCATTGGTACGTTATATCAAAGACTTTGTAGTGACAATTTTAGAATGAAGTTTATGAATGCAACGGTTCGCCGGCAATTATCTTTACCTACTGTCGTCATTTAAACGTAAATTGTTTGAAAACATTTAACTTCTTATACTTTTAGACCATGTCTGCAAATCAAGAAGAAGTGTTACCAGAGGGATGGGAAGTTCGCAAAAGTAGGAGTACAGGTATGCAATTGTTGTTGATAGTGGTTGGTTATTTTTATAAACTTACCTATTATTTATTCGATACCTTTGTATATATTTACTTTTGTCATACGTTACTCTATTTTCAGTGTAAATGAATGGGCTTTAATTATTTCTTTTAATAGTACTGATAATTGTGCTATCAAAGGTAGGTACTACTTAACTCTGGCATATAAATGAACTTTATTATTTTGTAGGACTTAGGTAATGTAGATGTTTAGGTAGGTCTTTTTGTGACTACCCACTAAGATATTCTATAGAACTTTATAGTAGCATTATAAATTATTGCTTTGTTTGTTTAGTGTTTTCATATTTACACATCTAATATATAGATATGTTTGAAGAGAAACTATTCAGGATTGATTTAAGACATTAATGAAAGCCTGGAAGTACAGTAGAACTATTCATAATAGGAAAATTGGTGAAAAAAATAAGGGCTAGTGGTTATACTACTAATATAGTAATACATTGCAAAATAAATCTATTACCTTTAGTGACTGATAAGGAGGATAATATTTACATATGGATTCTATTACAATTACAAAAATTCAGCATAACCAGCATTTTGAAAGGGTTTGGTCATTGATGTAATTTTGGGTATCACAGATATCATTTAGTTTGATACTGCTTCTCCCATACCCTGCGTGACAAAGCTACGGTACTAAAATTTGTGTTCAAAGGACCTAGTAAAGTTTTGTATGAGAGACTGCCCTGGCAATGTATAAATACTGTACTTAGTAATATTTAATGGTAAATGGCTGAATATTTATAATTTCTATGAAAAAAGGCTCTGGAACTTTCGATAAAGTCACAATCTTGAAAATTATGAGAACTCCTACTATGTTATTACCTGACCACAGTTGATAAAAGATGTTGCCAATTATTTACAGAGTCATCAATTCGCATTTTCTTAGAATCTTTCTTCCAATTTCTCTGATTAACCTTTCACAAAAAGTGTTTTTAAAGCAAAAATAAATACAAATAGTTTGTTATCGTCGTCCTGACAGGAAATCTGTGAAGTTTTATTTTGTTCATTTGCAAAAATTAACAAAATAAAACTTCACAGTTTTCTGAACAGAATAATAAAATCTATTATTTTAGGCCTTCAGTGATTTGTTTTGATAAAAATTAGGGCCAAATATGTCATAGTTTAAAGGAGTTTAGAAATAATATTGTTTATTTCGATATACTTACACAAATATTTTTTGTGTACATTGTTTGTTAATTTATTTTGTAAAATGGAACATTTTGCTTTTTTAACCGACATGAAGTCAATTTTTATACTTTTAAATATTTGATTATTTCACGAAAGTTGTATGATAATTTTAAACACTTAATAATTAATAAAAATATATTATAAAGTTACGGGCTAGTGCAAAATAATTATACACATTAAGAGCAGTTCTTTAGCCATGTCCTTTGAATTAGTTTCTTCATAAGCATGCTCCTTCAGCTGCACATATAAGAAGGAAAGAAAGAAAGAAAAACATATTGGTTACACAGCATAGGTAGGTACATTAAAAACAAAACAGAATAGAAGTAAAAAACATTTTTGTTTCCCACAACCTCTTTTATGCATGTCAAAAATTGCCAGTCAAGCAGCTTGATAATTTATTATGAAAGAACTAAATTAAATTCCCAATAATAAATTAATAAAATAGCATTTTTAGTACCAAGCTTCATCACACATGTGTTAGAATGGCTCATGTCTACTTTAAAGATAAGTGTTTTATTCAGAAGAATTGAAAATTAGCCCTTCAGAAAATGTACCTGTTAACTACTTTTTATACTGGCTGAAAAAACTTTCTAACAGCAGCTTCCTATAATATTAAATTTTTTTTTTAGTATGCAATCACAAACACTTGTGATTTTCTCCAATTTTATTTTATTATTTCATAAGTGGATTACATCCGTCTAGAATAGGCTTAATAAATAACCTATTTTTGTTAATGTGTTAACATACTTTTAATAGCGAAAATAAGTTGTTGATTATACAAAAGTGATTCCTAATATACTAAAATTAAATAATTCTGCTTGTCTGTATATCTATATCTCTGCTTGTCTGTATTCCCGGTAGTACCAGTGGAGTAGTCCCATTATGAGACTACTGTTTCTTTTTCCAGAGGAAAATAAGTATAACTGGACTGGAGGTTCTGATCAAATTAAACAAACTGAATTTGTAAATTTGATTACTATAAGTCAGTTGTTATGACAGACTTATAGTTTCTCATTAACCAAATAATCAGATAAGTTGTAAAATGATCAAAGCCTAATTCTCGTCATCATTCACTGTATAGCCAGCCTTATTTCTTTAAAATAGATCATAATAAATGATATGTCACCATAGGCAAACGCATAATGTTTCAAAGAGTTATGTTTTAGAGACTATACATATGAGAATGACTGCAATTTAGTCATATTGTGGGACTGATTCTGACGTTACATTCTCTAAACCTAAACTTAAAATTAGAGAGCTAATTTTAGTTTAGGTTTAGAGAACTGGTATTCTGAAATTACGAACTAACTAAATTAAGAACTCAGTTGACAGCTGTAAACGCGCTTCTAAATTGAATTCACAGATTTTGTAAAAGCATTGAACCGGTAATTATCGGTTTACTCAAATTAACAATAAATACTTATAGTGATTTTTAGTTATTTCAGTGTTTCTTTGTTGTTCTTTATCATCTTTGAAATATGGAAACTTAACATAATTTTGTATATTTTTTTCCTGTATGAAAAATTATGAATCAATATTAAAGAGTCCATACTAGCCTACTCTGTGGTCCTTGGGGTTTCTAGATTAGGAGTGTTTATCCTTATTTTGGGGAAAAATATGAATTTGGAAAAATTAAATCTGCGGGAACTTTAGGAATCATATTTTTTCTTAGAGCATGCCTAAGTATTTTTTTTGGCAAAAGGATGGGGAAAGCCGCCACTTTATAATTAAATTTAAATATAGGTACCAGCTAGATTTTAGTACCTAACAAATCTATTAAGGATGATCAGTGACGATAGACCATGTCGAATCCGAGCCGAGCTTCAGCCGTAGCACGGTCACCGAGCCGATCCCGTACCTGTAATTTACAAAGACGTGCCTCGACCGAGCAATTAAGTAGGTACCGTTGTGCCTTGATGCAGTTTATTTATTCAGATAAAGTAAATAGGGTAAGTGTACTCGTCCGAACAAAAACGATTTTGTTTTGTCTGAGGTTGATTGTCGTTCGGCACCGAGCGGCCTAGCCGAGGCGGGACCAAGGTTTTTCAGAGCGTTGTTTTATTTGTTGCTCTGTTGTCAGTCGGTTACCGTCCGTAATAGCGTGAATGTGTCCATAATCCATGTAAAATATATTATTTAATATTAGTTAACTAAAGGAGCTCGATGGCGCAGGTGGTTAGCGCTTTCGGCTGCGAACGTTGAAGTTAAGCAACTTTCGCAGTGGTCGGTCATTGAATGAGTGACCAAAAATCTTCTATCTCGAGTTCTGGGCCCGCGTGGTTAGTCATGGCCCAATCTCCCTATTCCATCCATAGGGAAAAAGCCTGTGCCCCAGCAATGGGGACATTAATAGGCTGATGATGATTAGTTAACTCAGCTACGACAAACACGGTCTAACGTGAATCATCCTTGAAAATTTCTCGAATCGTAAATTCTCAATCCAGCGCATCTATCTAATACCTAGGTGAGGTTCTCGTCTGATTTATGAAGATTTTGTTCTCATTTATTGTATAATCCGAGATGCGTAACCCATTTTTATCTTTTTTTGTATCTATCAGTTTTTGGCGAGATCGTCCAAAATCCCAATTATTCATTTGGTTAAGATGCTAAGTACTTTCGGATATAAAAAAACAAACAAACTTCTCAATAACAGTAGGAACTTATTTCGGGTTTGGATATTTTATATGATTAGCTCATAAAAAGTGAGAAATAAAATCAGTTCTAACAAATATTAAAAGCTGCTTCATAAAAACAAAACCACTAAAAACAAAGGATGGAACAAATAATACATTAAAGTCTAAAGAACCTACATTTAAAGTCAAAATAACATTTGGATTGGAATTTTTGATTGGAATGCATGTCACTGACATCATACCTATTATTTTGTTAATTATTTGACTATGTAGTTACTTTAAATATAAGTAGATATTACTTTAAGAATTAGTATATAGATTTCTTACCTTTTTAGCTTGTTTTTTTATATAAAGTGGATTATTATTTATGTTAAAAAAGATTTTACCTTAAATTATTAAGTACTTTATACAAGATATACGTATACATTATCTACTAAGTACCACAAAAGCGTAAGTGTTATGCGTTCGTTCTACGATCGTGAACGTTAAGCAACTTTCACAATGGCCGATCTTAGGATGGGTGACCAACCAAAAATGTAGGTATTACATCGAGTTCCTATGTTGCTGCTCGCTGCATCTGCAGTCGTTAGCCCCCCACTAAGCCGCATTACGCCCGCGTGGTGACTCATGACACATAATAGGCTTATAATAAATCCGTATCGTAATATAGACTTACCTACCTTTTTAAAAAAAATAAAAGATCTAGCTAATATATTATTATGACCGTCGTCGTTCATCTTTATATATATAATTCTTCTGTGAGTGTGTATGTCACTGAACTTCTCTTAAACGACTGGACCGATTTTGATGAAATTTTTTGTGTGTGTTCAAGGGGATCTGAGAATGGTTTAGATTCACAATTTTGTCCGCTGGACAACCCCTATTTTTTTAGGGCGGTACGAAGTTCGCTGGGTCAGCTAGTTATTGTATAAAATGTATGACTTTTTAAACGAAATAAAACCATATCCAACCTTAACAACAAGTTCAAAACTTAACAACAGCAATATTTGGCCCCAATTATTCACATTAAAAGTTAGAGAGAACCTCCGTAGGTCCTTCTTAAATTTAGTGTGACATTTCTAATTTTAGAGAAAATATGACACTTGATCGCGTTTCAGAATCTCTTATCTATTAGACAAGTCCGTCCGTCCGTCCGTCCGTGGTGCTGTTTCAGCGGCCAAACCGTAAGAGATAGATAAAGAGAATGTTTAATTTATAAGTTGAGAATAGTCTGATAAGACTACAAACCGGATGTGAGTAACGTAGCACTTCCGGTTTTCGAGAAATCACGTTATTTCTATTTCAAACGAAACCAAACAAAATCTCCGAAGTTCTCAATTAATTAAATACAATACATTTTTTTTTTTGGTGAACATTTGGTTCACTGGTTTGCTAGTACTATTTAATCATCTAAATCTAAGTTGAATACCTTAGCGACGTCAATTTTAAATTTAGAGATAGTGTGTCATTACAGAATACCAAATTGAATTTGACAACTTTATATATATTTAAGTTAGTTTTAGATATAAGTTGGCACGCCAGAATTGGGCCCTGTGTTGTTGTATGTAAAAGCCCCATGCTTCAATTTAATGCTTAAAAGTAGCATATTTCCTGGTTCAGTAATTGGTCCCCTCCTGGTTGTCTATTCATCCACATTAAGTGGTGGGTTATGTGAGATAAAATAGTTTTGGATTAAAAAAAGATTTTTTTATTTGATGGGCTTATAGTCAAAGACATCTTCAAATAATTCTTGCAACATTGAATCTTCCACAGGTATGACCTACTACTTAAACAAGCATACCAAAAAGTCTCAGTGGGACAAACCAGAAGGACCTGCACCGCTTGTGGATGAGGACGAAGACGATGCTAGTTCTCCAAAGCAGGTGCAATGCAGTCACATTCTGGTGAAGCATGCTGGTAGCAGGCGGCCATCTTCATGGCGTGAAGATAAAATAACACGGAGCAAAGATGAAGCACTGGAGATTCTCAAAGGTAAAGTTCATATATAACCCTTGTGGTTGAGTATCTACGAAACTATATTTTTCTTCACCATTTTCTATTCACTTAAACAAGCTAGTACCAATGAAAGCTAAGCTTTTTGCCCACTGGTCAGTTTATACTGTTGTCTTTACTTCAGCCAATGACAGCTACCTATCTCATGTGATACAGTTGTCCATCTTTGTCTTATGTAAGCGCTTGTGTGAAAGAAAAGCTCTCCATTAGCTCTTTCCAGTGAACACAGTCTTAGTAGAACGGCGGGCTGTTTCCGCAACTCTACACCCAGTGCCTATTTTGCGTGGGGATTGGCATCAGTCCTGCCATCCCAGCTCCTCCAGAAAGCTCAGCAGTCCCCGAATGTTACTGCAGGCCTCTACTATTGTCTTCGGGCTTCCCATTAGAGAAGTCCTTTGTCTTGCAACGCCCCTGCACTCCAGCAGCACTAGGGCGCTCGTCTCCTCTTCCTCCAGGCCGGCTCTGCACAGATGGCTGTCAGAAATACCTATATTCCAAAGGTGTTTGTTGAAATAGCCGTGACCCGTGAGTATACCCACGATTTGTTTTAGGGTTTGTCTAGGAAGTCTGATTAACTTACATGTTAGCTGCAGGTTTACCTTGGGAACGGCTTCCCTAGCTTGCCTGCAGTCCGTGAGTTCTGTCCAGTATTCGTCGTGTTGTCGTTGACAGCACTCCCTTATCCAGGTTCGCAGCTGTCGATAGGGTATGGATACAATAAGCTCCGGATCAATGGTCGTCCTGCTGGAACCTTCCCTGGCTAAGCAGTCCGCCGCATCGTTACCCCTTGAGCCGCTGTGTCCTTTAATCCACTGTAAAGTCAATCTATTGTCGTTAGCAATATTAGTCAACTTACAGTGGCATTCATAAATTAAGCCTGATGCCATTATATTGTTGTGCCAGTGCCTGTAGGACAGAAGCCTGGACAGTGAACAGAGTATAGTTGTGTTATACATAAAAAAAAAGAATATTACTGATGAAAAGCTCAATGGCGCAAGTGGTTAGCGCGTTTGCGATTGTGGAAGTTAAACAGCTTTCGCAATAGTCGATCATCAAATGGGTGACCAAAAATTTTTTGTCTCTTTTTTGTGCTTCTCCTTTCATCGAATGGCACGTTAAGCCGTTGGTTACGCTGTATCTGTAGTCGTTAAAACTTACCAATCTTTATTGGGCCGCATTAAAGCCCAATCTCCCTGTTCCATTCATAATGAAAGTTTATGCCCCTACAGTGGGGACATTAATAGGCTGATGTTGATTTTGATTGCTGTGTCATTCAGTCTAAGTACGTACTAAGTAAGTAATATAGTGTTATTTTATAAGGTACTAGCTGACCCAGCGAACTTCGTACCGCCCTAAAAAATAGGGGTTGTCCAGCGGACAAATTTGTAAATCTAAACCATTCTCAGATCCCCTTGAACACACACAAAAAATTTCATCAAAATCGGTCCAGTCGTTTAAGAGAAGTTCAGTGACATACACACTCACAGAAGAATTATATATATAAAGACTAGTTGCCCGCTCTCGCTTCCCTTCGGTGTAGAGCTGTAGTGTAGACTACATTGGAGAATGACGTCGAAAATTGGATTAAGTTTAAAGTGTGGCACAATCTTCACATTGGCAGGACTGAACCAAGCTTTGCATTTCATTTAAAATAACTGTAACACGATAACCTTCTTAACGTACTTTATGCTACGGAGTAACTCGACTAATTACTGTACATAATTCTCCATCTCTTAATTTGGCCATAGCCGATTGCGTTATCGCCGTAAGATTCTCTTGTTGAGCTGAAATAACTTCTATGTGTAGTAGCCGCTGAATAAAATACAGAGTTTTACAACTATGATTTATACATACATAGTAATTCAGGAGGAACTACAGCAATATGTATAACCTAGTTAGCATATAAGATCGAGCAAATTGTAAGATTTAATTTGATTTCATTTATATAGTACCTAAGTAAAATTAAGATCAACATCTATATCTGCAACTTCTGCTACGGCGGATGATACATATTAACAATCCATTAAGTGGATTAGATATGTAATTTAATTCTAAGCATGTTGCAATAAATAAATAAAAATAAAAAAACATACCGTAGTAATTTAGTCCCTTTCATTTCTACACTTGAAAACTCTGCACTTTGGACAAAAAAAGTTACAACCAGGTCAACACTAACTCTTGGTAAATTACTGGAGACTGCTTTGATAAGCCCAACTTCCATTTTTATTAAAAAACGCAATTAATATTCCCATAATATAATATTCACTTTTACAACCATAATCTCAAATAAGTTGTCATAAAAGGAGTGACGTCACTAAACGCTGATTGGTGTTTTAAAATACGTTCTTTTCAAGTCATTTTTAAATCGTAATTATTGTTAAAAAACAACATTATTTAAAGTAAAAACGTTGCAGCCTTTCTTTGATATTTTTTTAACATTTTAATCATAAAATTTTCATAAATATTATATTTGCATCTTCCCTATTATCACCTGGGAACATTATGTCCAATTCGAAATATATGAATGGAAAATGACGACGTGCACGCGGGTTTTTTGTCTTTAGTCGTTCTACAGACTAAGCTGTGTATACATGTTTTGCTTTGACTTTCATGCAAAGTGGTGCAATGAAATATTTTGAATTACATAAATTTACAAAATGAATCTCAGTATTATAGTATAAAGAGTCAATACAATTTTATGACTTGTCGGTCTAAACATTACAACCCACCCGGATTTAGGTATACTGTTATGGTGTGAGCAAGGCAATATGACAAGCGATATTGATACCTCAACGTCGCGGAAATGCCGCTCGATAAGTACCCTCGATTTAGACGTATATTAAGCTAGCAGACCATGGTCACGACGCGCACATCTAACCTACTGGGTATTTAGTTGCTATATTGGAAAATTGTCTTAGGTGGAAAATAGACGCGGGATATTTAGTTGCTTATTAGTTGCTCGCCAAAAACGCAGATAAGAGTATCCTACAATCATCCCCTAACCTCAGATCCACCCCCTCTACTCACTAAAAATAGTAGATGGTTCGAATGACACGTAGATGTTTAAAACTGCTGGATATTTTGTTGCTAATTATTTGCTGCAAAATAGCGTTGCTTATAGTATTTAATTATCAACCCTTAACTCCAGATGAGCACTGCAACCACCCCAGAATAGGACGATATCGGAAAATTCTCGTAGGTGGAAAAAAGCGGCGGGATATTTAGTTGCTCGCCAAAAACGCAGTTAAGAGTATTCTACAATCATCCCCTAACCTCAGATCCAACCCCTCTACTGACTTAGAAACAGTAGATGGTTGGAATTCGCACGCAGATGTTTCAAACTGCTGGATGTTCTATTGCTAATTAGTTGCTCGCCAAAAACGCAATTAAGAGTATTCTACAAACATCCCCTAACCTCAGATGCAACCCCTCTACTTACTCACTTAGAAACAGTAGATTTTTAACGCGTCGGCTAAAACATCGACGGGTCGCAGTTTGAATGACGTCAAGGAGGTAGGTCCCAATCTACAACAAGACTTACAATCTTTGATTTTGAAGTGGCTTCAATACCGCTATGCTTTCACAGCCGATATAGAAAAGATGTTCCGCCAAATTAGAGTCCAGGAAAGCGATCAAAAATACCAGAAAATTATTTGGCGGGACGCACCAGACCAACCACTCCAAGAGTACCAGCTCACCACTCCAAGAGTACCAGCTCACCACTCTGCCCCTCAAATCTGCCCCTTTTTTAGCGATGATGACTTTAAGACAACTTCTTCTGCTATTGATGAAAGTTTTAAGTACACCATCACCAATGCTACCAAGGTCCTAGAAGAATCATTCTACATGGATGACGTCTTACATGGATGCCATAAAATATCCGATGGCGTTTTATTAAAAGCGGATTTAATTAAACTACTTAGATCTGGAGGCTTCAATCTACACAAATGGAAGTCAAATACCAACCAATTACTGTCTGATCAAAACCAAATCAACCAAAGCGACTTTGGCTTCAAACAAGCGGAATCTACCAAAACATTAGGTCTCCGTTGGCAACCAACCAATGATTTATTTATTTTCGATTATAAAATAGAATTGAGAAATTCTCACCACACCAAAAGAAGCCTTCTATCGGACATATCTAAGTTATTTGACCCGCTAGGTTGGATTTCACCAATTACCACCAAGTTAAAAATATTATTTCAAAATGTTTCTAAAACCCAGCTTGAGTGGGATGAAAAATTACCAGAAGAGATATACTGCGAATGGATAAAAATAAGAACAGATCTACAGAATATTAGCCAGCTGCAAGTACCAAGATGGTTGGGTATTCAAGATCAAGATACCATCGAATTACACGGATTCTGCGATGCCTCCATCTAAGCATTTGCCGCCGTCATATACTGCAAAATAACCAGAGGCGACGCAGCATCAGTTGCGTTGGTTGTAGGAAAAACCAGACTAGTGCCAGCCAGTAAAACCATTACCTTGCCGAAACTAGAACTTTGTGGGGCACATCTACTTTCAAAACTAATGCAGAAGGTCCGTGTTTGTTTTGAAAATTATGAAACCAAAATGTACGGTTGGATTGACTCAATGGTCGTTCTAGGGTGGCTCAACGGAGAACCTACGCGTTGGAAACCGTTCGTAACCAATCGTGTCAGACAAACAACGGAGATCATACCAGTAGAAAATTGGCAATACGTCAAATCCGAAGAAAACCCGGCTGACTGTGCAAGTCGAGGTTTGAATGTCTCTCAATTAAAACAGCATCAGTTGTGGTGGCAAGGACCTCACTGGCTATCTTCATATTCAGATAGATTACACAATAAAAAACCAAAATACACCACTGATTGTGAATTGAAGAAATGCAATAAAAATAATATTCATTTAGTGACTCATATACCCAGAGAAAATATTGTACTAGATCTAATTTCAAAACATAGTACGATAACAAGGTCAGTCCGTATTCTTGCTTGGATAATGCGAATGCGAAATACATTTAAATTACCGTATTTAACCACGACAGCATTAAATAAAGCTAAAGAATTCATAATAAGAACAGTACAACAACAAGAATTTGCAAAAGAAATTATGAGTCTAAAAACCAATAACAATCTAGAAAAACACAGCAAAATTTATAGTTTAAACCCATTTTTAGATGAAGTGGGCTTACTTCGCGTCGGCGGCAGACTGAAAAATGCTTAAATAGAAGAAAATATGCAGCATTCCATTATTATTCCACCAAACCATATTTTAACCAAACTTTTAGTCGATCATGCTCACCAACAAACACTCATTGGTGGTGCAAGACTGACCTTGGCATTTCTCAGAAGGAACTACTGGATAATCAGCGGAAGTCGTATCACCAAAAAATATATCCGCTCATGCGTCAACTGTAGAAGAAACGGACCAAGTTTACAACAACAGTTGATGGGAGACCACCACACGGGCGTTGACTTTACTGGTACTATCCTTATTAAGGCGAATAAGAGCAGGGGCATAAAAACCATGAAAGGTTATGTGGCAGTGTTTGTGTGCATGGCAACCAAAGCCGTGCACTTGGAGTTGGTCTCGGACCTTAGCACTTCGTCATTCCTCGCTGCATTAGGTAGAATGGCAGCCCGAAGAGGAACGCCTCACCATATATATTCCGATAACGGAACTAACTTTGTCGGTGCAAGCAGGGTACTGAACAAAGAGTTCGAAGAGCTAAAGCATATCTTTAATGAAGAGTTTCTGTCAGAAGCTTCGGAGATGGGTATCCACTGGCATTTCAATGCACCAGCGTGGCCTACGGCAGGGGGACTGTGGGAGGCCGCAGTCAAAAGCCTCAAGTATCACCTCAAGTGAGTAGTAGGAGAGCAAAGGCTCACTTTTGAGGAGTTTACCACGATCTTAACTCAAATAGAAGCGTGCCTCAACTCACGGCCGTTGTGTCCCCTAACAGAAGATCCAGAGGACTTAAACTTCCTTACACCATCTCACTTCTTAGCTAGTGGACCCACTCTTACCATTTTAGAGACCGAAACGGACTTAAGAACCAGGTGGAATTTGACGCAAAAAATCTTTCAAGATATTTGGAAGCGATGGCAAGCGGAATATCTTACACAATTATCGGCGAGATCTTAATGGCGACAACCATGAGAAAACATTAAAATCGACGATGTCGTCATTATACACGACACCAACCTACCTGCTGGGAAGTGGGCGCTGGGACGAGTGGTCGAGCTTCACCCTGGCAAAGATAATTACGTCCGAGTAGTCACCTTAAAAACCAAAAATGAATGATTCATGAAAAGGCCTGCCACAAAATTATCAGTCTTACCAGTATCAAATCACCAAGAAGAAATAAAACCAGCTCCTCAAATACCTGAAAACCAAACTCAACCAAAAACCAGAAAAACCAACCGAGAAAGTCATTTAGTACTTGTTTATCACTGCTACTAATGTTATTTACTTGTTTATTTACACCAGCTAGCTGTTCGTATAATATACATATATCCTTTAAACAAAAATAACAATATGTACTTTCTCGATAAAACATCTACTATGTATTTGATTAGAGATGAATGGAAACTCGTCGTGTATTACGATTTAAACCCTTATTGGCAAGGTACCACACTGCTAAATAAGTACGTCACTCACCTTGAAACCATATGTTCCAAACTTAAACAGACACAATGTGACGTACTCTTATTACAATTAGGTCATGGAAACAAAGAATATAATTACTACAACCGCATATTGCTCGGTCAGCAAACTGCGCGCCCGATAAACGCCGGCGCCGCCGCGGACTTATCAATGGAGTCGGTAAGGCCCACACTTTATTTGGAATTCTGGATGAAAGTTTTGCCGATCAATATACCAAAGATATAAACCTGATACGAATTAACGAAAAACATCTTGAAAATTTGTGGCGAAACCAAACTTCATTAGTAGAAGCAGGGTATAATTTGCTAAAAAGAACCGAATCGACAATGGAACTTTACCATATCAGCATTAATTGCAAACAACATTCTCTCTAACTTACGAAATATTCAGGAAACGTTATTAGACACCATTACCAATATCTATTATGGAAACTTCAACATACACTTGTTGAAACCTGAACAGTTAATTCAAGAACTTCATTTAATAACGGGATACATTTCCAAGGATTTATCGCTACCAGTCGATAACATCCAAAGTGAATTACCTAAGATTTATCATTTGATGAAAGTAAAAGCAAGAACTACAAATGAATATTTGTTATTTGAGATCATAATCCCACTTGTAAGTAGAGATATGTATGATGTTTATAAAATTATACCAATTCCGAAAGGGAATAACGAAACCATGGCCACCCTATTGCCTGTTGCATCTCACGTTGCTATTAATTTACGCAAGGATTTATATTTACCAATGCCGGACAATGTTCTCCAGAGCTGCACCCTCTATGATGTGGAAGTTCAACTCTGCCCAGTGCATATCCCACTATATCAGTTTAAAACTGATGAAAGTTTATGTGTCAAGGATCCGATCACCGGCAACTGCAAAACCAGTATTGTTCCGTGTGCTCAGTCATGGTCTCAACTTCAAAGGAAGAATACTTACCTTTTCTCCTGTTGTCATGAATGTCCTACAAGAATAATGTGTGATCAACTCATATCGGCGGAGCGACTCACCGGGGCCGGTGTGATAACGCTCGGAAACGGCTCCATCCGATTCAACCAATTACATTGAAATAAAATCTGAAGGGCCTAGTGCGTGTGATATAAAAATCGAAAGGCCTAGTGGCAGTGAAAATACAAAAAAGTGCCAAGTTCGGTTTAATACTACACCAGTGCCAAATTTCCGCACCCATTTTAGACAATCTAATTAATTTATTATTATGTACTAACAACTTATTGTTCTTTCATCTTGTTAAGCACTTCACCACATTATTATTTACTTTGCACTTTACTAATAATAGCTATAACTTTCCTTTGATTTCTATTGCATACCACTGCATTTTTCTCTCCCCCGGGAGCATGTACGGGTTTAGCCACACATTAAACTCATAATAAGTAGGTTAACGCGTCAGCAATATGACCCGCTGCGCGACTTATTACTTTATAATTTATTAATATCATTGTTTCGCAATAATAACATATTAAATCTATAATTAGTGTCTATCCGGTAGCCTTACCAACCGCGCTTACTCACTCTTACCTTTTCACCATACGTAAACCATTCTTTCACCATACTTTAACTTTAGTTTTCCTGTTTATAGACTTTGTTATAGTAGTGTAAATTATCTCAATAAACTCTCAGTAATTGTTTCCAGTGACTTTCTATTTACCAATCTCTTCTCTAAAGGTGTATAATAACCCGTACACTCAGAACATCCCTGCAACCACCCCAGAATAGGACGATATCGGAAAATTCTTGTAGGTGGAAAATAGACGCGGGATATTTAGTTGCTAATTAGTTGTTCGTCAAAAACGCAGTAGAATACTCTTAATTGCATTTTTGGCGAGCAACTAATTAGAAACAGAACATTCAGCAGTTTTGTTACATCTGCGTGCGAATTCCAACCATCTACTGTTTCTAAGTGAGTAGAGGGGTTGGATCTGAGGTTAGGGGATGATTGTAGAATACTCTTAACTGCGTTTTTGGCGAGCAACTAATTAGCAACTAAATATCCCGCCGCTTTTTTCCACCTACGAGAATTTTCCTATATCGTCCTATTCTGGGGTGGTTGCAGTGCTGATCTGGAGTTAAGGATTGATAATTAAATACTATAAGCAACGCTATTTTGCATTAACTAATTAGCAACAAAATATCCAGCAGTTTTAAACATCTGCGTGCAAATTCGAACCGTCTACTATTTTTAAATGAGTAGAGGGGATGGATCTGAGGTTAGGGGATGATTATCGAATACTCTTATCTGCGTTTTTAACGAGCAACTAATTAGAAACAAAACATCCAGCAGTTTTAAACATCTGCGTGCGAATTCCAACCATCTACTGTTTCTAAGTGAGTAGAGGGGTTGCATCTGAGGTTAGGGGATGTTTGTAGAATACTCTTATCTGCGTTTTTGACGAGCAACTAATTAGCAACTAAATATCCCGCGTCTATTTTCCACCTACGAGAATTTTCCGATATCGTCCTATTCTGGGGTGGTTGCAGGGATGATCTGGAGTTAAGGGTTGATAATTAAATTTTTTAAACAACGCTATTTTGCAGCAACAAAATACGCCGTAGTTTATATTATCTGATGAGCTCTTTTTAATTTTATCGTATTTCGGAGGTAGTGTGGGTGCTGGTGCGGCAATTAAGGGATGATGGGGGGATAATACAAATAATGCTGTCCTACAGCAACTAATTAGCAACTAAATATGCCGTTTGCAGAACTTCGATATCTTTACGAGAACCGAAGATACAGTATTGTGGTCTGCTAGGTTAAGACTTAATCTAGCAGATCGCTTGCATCTTTTACAGGTGTTGAGCAACTAAATCGGGAATAGTGTAACTAATTAGCAACTAAATACCCAGTAGGTTAGATGTGCGCGTTGCGACCATGGTCTGCTAGCTTAATATACGTGCGATTTAGCGATTAACTTATGTACATAATTTTATATTCTTAAAACCTAATAATAATATATTTTCATTTCTATTTCCAGAGTATCGTGAAAAAATTGTCAACCAAAAAGCCACTTTTGAAGAATTAGCTAGTGCCAACTCTGACTGTTCATCTGCAAAGCGTGATGGCGATCTAGGTTTCTTTAAGAGAGGTCAAATGCAAAAACCTTTTGAAGATGTAGCTTTCGATTTGAAGGTAGGCCAGCTTAGCCAACCCGTGGACACTCAATCAGGTGTTCATATCATACTACGAACTGCTTAAAAAGCACAAAATAACAAAAATTTCAAAATAACAAAAATTTCAAATCATTGCAAAGTAAGCATGTCACATTGTTTTATTTATTTGATGTTTTGTAAGTACTATGTAAAAAAATATGTTTAACTTAAAATAAGTATAAAGTTCTGAACAATAGGTACTTAGATTGGATAAAATCAAAAAGCTTGTTATATATATTACTTGTAATAACAAACTTGAAGAAGTAAAAGTTGTTTTAAGAAAACGAAAACACTTAGTTTTAAGTAATAGGGAAGATGCATATGTAATATTTATGAAAATTTTATGATTAAAATGTTAAAAAAATATAAAAGAAATGCCACTGCAACGTTTTTATTTTACATAATGTAGTTTTTTAACAATTATTACGAATTAAAAATACTTGAAACGGAACGTATTTTAAAACACCAATCAGCGTTTAGTGACGTCACTCCTGTTATGACAACTTCTTTGAGGTTATGGTTGTTAAAGTAAATATTATTTTATGGGAATATTTATTGCGTTTTTTTACATTTAATAAAAATGGAAGTTGCGTTTATCAAAGCAGACTCCAGGAATTTACCAAGAGTTAGCGTTGACATGGTTTTACCTTTTTTTGTCCAAAGTGCAGAGTTCTTTAAGTGTAGAAATGAAAGGGACTAAATTACTACGGTATATAAAAATCGTAGTTGTTAAACTTCGTATTTTATTCAGCGGCTTCTACAAATCTTACGGCGATAATGCAATCGGCTATGTCCAAATTAAAAGAGATGGAAAATTATGTACAGTAAAAGGTCGAGTTCTCCGGAGCATAAAGTACGTAAAGAAGGTTATCGTGTTACAGTTATTTTAAATGAAACGCAAAGCTTGGTTCAGTCCTGCCAATGTGAAGATTGTGTCACACATTTTAAACTTTATCTAATTTTCGACGTCATTCTCCAACTGTAAAATTAAAAATATGTTATAGACAGGTTTTGTAAGTATTAGGTAGGTTACTGATGCGTTTTTACGTACAAGCAGATTAATTAAGCATATAACAAGTATATTCGCCGACTTACGTCAAAGTGATCTTCTCAGCATCGAATAATGGTCTTTGGAGAATAATTGTCATTTCTCTTCGTAGCTTGAAACCACTTTTTTTTCAGTTTTGGGTCAGAAGTTCCAGTCAAAAACAATTTATTTGGGAACTTTGTTGAAGTAGATTGGCACAAAACATGAGTCAACACGGCTTTTTTTGGGAATATTAGTGGTATTGTTATGATCACATGATGTTGATGGATAGTCCATTTTAAATTTTTCAAAAAAATATTTCGAAAGTCGAAAAAATATGCAAAAGTATGAAAATTTAAAGCCAGCAACGAACAATTACGACCATTGACAGACAGGAGTGACGTCATCGCAACCATAGGTTCGTTTTCGCGCGAAAATTTAAATTGTCAATTTAAAACCGCAAATTTTCCGATAAATCACGATGTTTTAATTTTTTAATATATCTGTGGTTTATTCTACATGGAATTCTTTAAAATGAAAACAAAAATAAAAATATTGCATCTTCCCTATTTTACTTATCTATGTATTTTATTTGAAATACTTTAGTTGTATTCTTATATAAACTTTTTATTTATCTTAATGGCATATGAATAGTAGTCATAAGTAACTTGTAATGATGATTCTCCTCTGTTGCACACTTTGACACAGTTATGCTTCATTTCGCCTCTGAATCGTTTCACTTAAGCCGGGTCTCCAGCACAAGCTGCTTAAAATATTCCACAAAACACATACACATTACTTTGTTCCTGAAACATAAAACGTTAAAAAACTACGATCCAGGTGAAACAAATGTCAGATATGACAAAAGGTCTAAAATTTTATGTCAAAATTGAAACGTCAGAGTGAAAAGTTGCACTCGGAGCGTAGTAGGTCTGCGTCCTTAGACCTTTTTGTCGGGTCATAAGTATCAGGCTGAAATTTTCTAGATCGCTTCATTTCAGTGAGTCGGACAAACTTTTTATTTGACAAAAATCTCGGTAGTGGAGACTAATTTTGCTAGAGGCCTTGAAACATGTCGATAAGTCCGGGTGCCAAAAATTTACTAATACCAAGCCGATTCTTACTGAAATTTAAAGATTAATTTATGAGAAAGTCAAAAAGTAGATTGTCCGACAAAATTAATGGGGACTATGCGCCAGTCGGACATACTGAAAATGTTGGAAATTCCAACTCAAAAAAGTTATTAATATCAGGCTAATTTTTTTTATGGGTTCATAAAAATTAATATAATACAACTGTAACGTTGACCGACAAAATTTATGGGGATAAGCGCCAGTCCGACACTCGAAAAATGTCGAAAATACCAGCACAAAAAAGTGATTGATATCAACCTAATTTTTATTTTTTCAGTAATAAAATAATGTTTCGAACGATTGTCCGACAAGAAATGTGGGGAATACTAATAAAAATCGATAAAATATCTATTAAAATTATTCGTTCTGTATACAGCATTTAAGTATACCTATATATATCTCCCCTCTCTCCCTGAACGCTGTCTGTGTGTTTCTGTTCTGTGTTTGGCTGCATGAAAGTGAGTGAGAAAGATGATGGGGCAGAGAGCGCACTATAGGTACCCAGTAGTTACAAACACACTGGCCGCGTAGCATCCATAACCTATTCACATGCACGCAGCCACGCAATACTTTTTGTCAACCCAAACCGAAGTTTATTTATTTAAATAAAAAAAAACTTTTTTCGTTCAACTGTTGAAGTGCTGCCCTTCTATAGAAGAAACTGTTCATCATGCAGTGTTTCTTGTGTGAATTAAAAAAAAGTGAAAAAGACAATTTCAAAGAAGTGAAAGAAACTGTTAAGAAGTTCTCAAAAAATATTTTGGAAAATTGTCACAAGTTTAAGAATGCTCGAGAGTATCATCGTCATAAATATAAACTTCTAAATGTGTGATAATAAAACTAATATTTTATTTATCAAACAACATAAATTTATATTATTTTTCTAAGATTATCTAATTAGAAACAAAAAGGGTAGCTTAAAAAAAAGTTTATACATTAAACTTGAGCTACAGCTACATTTATTCACAAACGTCTAATTGTGGTAGAGAGGTTAAAACCTCTTGTATACTATATAGTGCGACAGATACACTAACAGAGCTCTCGAAAGCGAAAAGCGAAATCCACATATAGATATACTGCCGTTTCTAAGAGCATATATATATATATATATATATATATATATATATATGCTATATATATATATATATAGATATAGTTTTTTTGCGGTTAGGCTAATCTTGTCGGACTAGCGATATGACCCATTATTTTTGTCGGATATCACTATATTTCGGTTATAAATGATCTAATCTATAATTACTCATGTTTGTCCGACAAGTATTAATCACTTTTTTGTGCTGGTATTTTCGACATTTTTCGAGTGTCGGACTGGCGCTTATCCCCATTAATTTTGTCGGACAATCTACTTTTTGACTTTCTCATAAATTAATCTTTAAATTTCAGTAAGAATCGGCTTGGTATTAGTAAATTTTTGGCACCCGGACTTATCGACATGTTTCAAGGCCTCTAGCAAAATTAGTCCCCACTACCGAGATTTTTGTCAAATAAAAAGTTTGTCCGACTCACTGAAATGAAGCGATCTAGAAAGTTTAAGCCTGATACTTATGACCCGACAAAAAGGTCTAAGGACGCAGACCTATAGGTTTTGTAACGGAGCCCCCGCTAGCGAGTTGTAAAAACAATACCCTGCTGCCCCTCGGCCTGCGCGGGGGGAATTGTGTATGTGTATTTCATTGGGCTCGGAAAGAAAAAACTTTGATGATGCAAACAAATATGTGTAGTGAAACAAATTTTGTGTAGACGATTTTGTTGTATGTTGATATATTTTTGTTGTGTAGGGCAAACAGGCGCTGAAGACCTGGCTTTATAGGCGACTATAGTTTTAAGAGCGATAAAGAATAGAGATTTATGGCACGGAATATATTCTTTCGGCTTTGCGGATCGGTACACCCGTTTGTTAGGGTAACCTCTACCATACAGTAGACGCCTCCGATCTGTTAAGACCAATTCCTTTAATATACGATCTCTTAATGTCCAAATATCAAAATCATCTTTTCCCAAAATGACTGATTTTCTAAATGTCTTTGTTTTAGATTTCATGTACAGTCACACTTTATTTATAATCGAAAGTAAAGTATATAACATATAATACCTTGATTTTTTTTGAGAACTCTACTCCAATAATATATGCATGACTTTTTCATAATTTATTCAGTAATTTACATCTCCTTAATACAGTATAAAAATCTAAGTCAAAAAAATAGTATAAATGGTGTCTAAAAATGTTTAAAGTACCACACGGTTAGTTTAAACCCGCGCTATTTTCGAACGCTTGGGTGTGACGTCACGATCCACATCTAAATCTTCAAACAAAGTCAATGACCTTACAAGATACTGACATTTTGCGTTCCATACCTTCACTGCGGATGGAAGTCGGAACCTACGTTAATCAAATAACATTGTTTCAAACATTTTTGGGAAAAATTAAATGTCATAGTAAAAAATTGCATTCGGTGTCTAGGTGGAACGCGGACTTGACATCTACGCACTTGCACTGTAATCTCGTTAACATTGGTATATCCTGTGAACATCACATCACGTTTGTTATAAATATACGACACAACCGCTCTTGTCGCGTTTCAAAATATTGTATTTCCCACAAATTTATCAGACTTTTACTTTTATATCATTAATTTCTTGCTCGAAAACTTTTTAACAAATATTGATGGAGGGACAACATAAAAGTAATAGAATTTATATAAAAATAAAACGAGGTTTACATGCATATTCTCTATTACGTGAATCACTTTTATTTGAGATCTACTCTACCTATTAGCATGAAGCTTTCGAGGAGCGGCTTTTATGTTTATTCTTAATAACTGCTTTTGTTTAAGACTGGTGTTTGTTTTTTCAGTACTCGAAAAATAAAGGATTTTTATTAAATAATCACTGTTTTATAAGCTATCTAAATTGACAAAGATCTTAAAAACTACTTTAGAGTCAAAAAAATTGTGGTGAAAGTATTAAAGATTTAGGACACATTCGTCAGATAATTTTTCGTCAGAATAAATTATTGTCAGGATAAAGATTTGAGAAAAGAGTTCGGTTTTTTCTCAAACATTGTTTTTGATTTAATAGCACGGATGTACCTTTTCTGCCAGACAATAAGAATTTACTGTATTTTCAAATCGAAAAAGAAAATCAGTCGGGAAAAGGTGATTTTGGTATTTGTTCATTATGAGATCGGTACAATATAGAAATCAGTCCTAACAGACCGGAGGGCAATAGACCACATTAAAATGTTTCTGTTGGTAAGTTAAGTTCCATTCCAGGAACCAATCCACCCGACTAAGGATGGGGTTACGGTATGCAACGCGAGAGTAATACTGTACTTCAAGCATAAACAACTAGCGAGAAAGTATTCGTATCGTAATGTCAAAGATTCTTTGGAAAAAGCTAGTTTTTCTCAAGTTCGCTAGGGGCATTTTTTTTTGCGCGCTGCTTAGTTTCATTAGCAACTTTTACGTTGGCGATACGAATACGGATCTGTCGGAAGTTCGTGCTTGGGGTAGTGTATATCGCAAGCATCAACAGGCTATGGTGGTCGCTTTCCACCAGGCGGTCTATAATTATGCGTGTTTGCCACCGTTTTTACATACAAAGTTTTCCGCCCCACCAAAAGTTCCATCACTTGTGTGAACATTGGTGGAATAATCGAAGTGGAAGCAACAACTAATAAATTGCACTACACAGTAGATACTGACTAAAGTAGGTTAATATGAAACTATATATTGTAACATTTATATTTTCCTTATACTGCTCAATTATTTATTTACGTCTTATAATGTATACGCATTTGCGTATAAGTGGTTGAATATTAGCATTAGTAAGTTCGTTTGTTATCATGATACAGTTGCATTTCTTACAAAGTAAATTAAATAGATACTTCAATTTAGCTTAATAATCTAATTAGTTTATTGTCAATGGAACTACCAGCCTCCTTTCTTTTGATGTTTGGGGCCACTTGACCTAGATTTAAAATAGTAGTGGTAATACTTTGCTTGGTCAATGTACCTCATGAATTTGTTAACAAGGTTGAATTTCTTCTGTTCTATTAAAAATCCGTTAGAATTAATATGTGAATCGAGAGGTACATTGGTACAAGCTAAGATTAGTGTTATTTTTAACTACTCCGAGCAGTATACAGCCGCGGCCCCTGCTGGAAAGATAACGCGATCTATCGTAATTTCTAACAAAACGGTTGGTATACATTGAACCTTGTTAATAAATTCATGAGGTACATTGAACAAGCAAAGCATTACCACTACTATTTTAAGTGTAACTCGAGAGGCCCCGCTATATAGAAACACATCTCTCTTTTTTATTCCATATAGAATATGTTAAGGATATACTGGTGTCAAATTTAATCAAAGTATCAATTACTAACGGCCCGTCCCGGCTTCACACGGATGTATTAAATACTATGAAAACATAATGAATTTACAAAACTTTCTATTAGTGAAAGAATTTTTAAAATCGGTCAAGACGAGTCAGTCAGTATATCCTTTTCTCTCTTTATATACTCGTAATAGTATACATAAAGAATATACGGTGAACTAAGACTGCTCCAACATTATGCCCAGTTGTTATCAAGAAAAGGACAACAATACAGCTCAGCCGTACGGACTCGGAAGCGGACTCGCCGTTTCGCTCGCGCTGCGTTGAAGCATACAGTTCTGTCTCGCTCGCTCGATTGAATAATAAAAAAGGTTATAGTGAGTCAAACTTAAAAGGTGGACATATACTGTCCCAGACATTTTAATAGAACTTCTAAAAGGAAACAATTCTGTGATACATAATTTTTGTCTTACTTTAACCGTTTACCCAGCGCACGCAACGGAAGCTCAAAAATGGAATATTTTTACCCGATTTTCTATCATTTTACACAGCCTTCCTTTATAAATGCACTATCCAACCCCAAAAGATTTTTCATATGCGCATTCAACCAAAAAATGGTTGCCTGTAAAGTCGGTTTTACGGGCGAAGATTTTACGTGACAACGTCTTTTTCTCGGTAGAATATTTATTGATATGAATATAATTAAATTGCACAATAGGAACAAGGAATTGAATGAAAATAAGAATTGCACAAATTTTAACTATAGAAATATATTTTGTTTACTAAAACATTGTACATGTAAACTTAAACTTAACACGAGAGACTCATCGTAACGTTACCGAGCGTTACACTTTTTCATAAGTGACTCCCAGCCGCAACCTAATTTAAGACGTTGTCACGTCAATAAATGTATTTATTCCTTCTTACAACAATTAAGGCACATGCAATACAGGTTAAGCAACACTTAAATAATATTATTAGGTGTTGTAAGAAGCTGGTGTCCGAAATAGGCGTTAACCTGTACTACGTACGGATCACCAGGTCCTTACCCCTGGAAAATAATCTAAACATTGTTCTTCATAACCATAATGAGCCTTTATTACATAATATTTATTAATGGTAAATACAGAGAAACTGAATATAAAAGGGTGAGAGACAAAAAAATAATCGTATAGAAATGAATGCATGTTTATATACAGACGTGTGCATGTGTGAGAGTTGCTTATGTAGTTGAGTCGGATCATATTTGATGCTAGTATGAGCGTACCGTATCTTACCCTTTTGTTTTAAAATAAGATTTTATGACATGTTTTTTTTTCTTTAATATAACAAAATTACTTCTCTCGCCACTTATTTTTCTAGTTAACATAGGTGCAGAGTGCAGACTACATTTCGTCTTGGTAGCAACGACGATGGAATCATATACCTAAATTAGCACCGGTTTCCTAGCTAAAACCTAAAAATTTTAATTTGACAACAGCGTATCCTTGTCATTCTATATACAGAGTGCAAAGACATGTTAATATAAGTTTTAATCGACACCAGTATCTTCTTTAAATAACAACTGGTTTTGCATACATAAACCAGATTTATTATAGTGCTAATTAATGCAACTGTTTACTATCATAGCCTAGATATTTTTATATAATATAAATTATCGTACACGCTTGTATTTAATTCTTTTTTAGTGGCTGAGAATGTACCTCGTCAACCGTACCATTATGTTTTCATAATATTTTCTTTGGAATAATTTTATTTATTTAAAATAAAATATTTGAAATGATTGGTCATTTTATTATTATTTTATCCCGTGGACTGTGTGAGCAAAATGGCCGTCTAAACTCTGTTATATTTTGAGTTCTATTGAACCTATTGTCTTTCTTTAACCTATTTTCTTCATTTACGGTTAAAGACATTTATTTTCTCAAAAGAATTTACAAAAAATCCACTTACAGAGAAAAAACAAAGCATAATTAACAAAAAAAATCATTATCATTTATGTCTTAAATTAATCTTAAATATTTTCTGCATCTAGGTATTTCTATTTATCTTTTCTATATCTAAATATTGTATGATAATATTGCGTGGCAGAAATCCGCCAATTCGACAGACGGGTTTTTTGACGTTGGCAGAAATAATCCATTTATATATACCTACACAGCAGAGCACCGGAGTTACATACACAGCCAGTAGCAGGTGTCCGTGTGTCAGTAGGGATAAAAAAACTTATCGCAAGTAATTTATAAAAAAGGTTTTAATGGCTTAATTTTTGTCCATTTGTATCTCACAGTCCTAGGTTATCGCCCCCGCCGGAGTGTGGACTGTGTGAATGTACCCTGAAAGGGGTATTTTTACGGTTTTGTGGTAATATCTTGTAAAGCACTCACGATATCTTAAACTGTTCTTCATAAACGCTGCAGGGTGCCGGAGACTTGGAGAGATGCTAATGTGCAACCGTTCCCAAAAAAGGGGATCGCTCAGACCCGACAAACAAACTAACAAAAGCAGTCACCTCAGTTTTATGTAAAGTTCTAGAAAAGGTCCTTAAAAACCATCTGACCCGCTACCTAGAGGGTCACTCCTTGATTAATGATCGTCAATATGGTTTTATACAAAAACGATCGACGGGTGATCTTCTAGCGTACTTAACTCATATCTGGGGTGAGGCTATCGACAAGCGTGGCGAGTCGTTGGCTATCAGCTTGACATTGCCAAGCCGTTCGACAGGGTCTGGCACAAAAGCCTTCTCTCCAAGCTTCCGCCATAGGTCTGCCAGCCCAGTTCAGTACCCCTAGCACGAACCATTATCGAATTCGAATAGTTTGCAAACCGAAATGTCGCAAGTAAAGTGACTAAAGATCTTGAGCCTCTTCAATTACGCCGTGACGTGGCGTCACTAAGCGCGTTCTATCGTCTGTACCACGGCGAGTGTTCTGAGAAGTTATTCTCTCTTATCCCACCTTCCCCTTTCCTTCAGAGGACCACGCGCGCTGGCCCACGTTGTCACCGTCTAACTGTGGCCACAATTCCAACACGTACAAAGAAATTTGGTGACTCATTTCTATCCGTAAATGGAATGCTCTGCCCGCTCACGTGTTCTCTCCCACTTACAACCTGGGATCCTTTAAAAGAGGCGTGAAGAAGCAACATGCAGGCCGGCAGGGCGAGGATGGCTGGTGTGGCAGGTAGAACTGCTGTATCAGCTAACTTAGCATCTGGACTTCACCTTCACTTAACATCAGGTGGGGTAGAGTCATTTGTCGGACCTATCTATAAAAAAGGGCATTTAATCCTGCATATAATGAGTCCAGATCTATGATGTTTTCAAGTATGGATACGCCATACACGCTTCTGATATGGCAATACGAAAGTCAGGTAATTGCCCGACTTACATTCAGTCGATCAAGCTCTCGGCGGCGCGGCGCTACAACGAGTAAGTATTTTACGTTTTTCCAGACAAAAAACCCTGTGTGTTTTTAGATAGTCCACAAATTACACGGGAACTGCACTCGCGAGCAAAAGTCTGGAATCACTTACTTGAAATTGGTTCCGCGCGATCTTGTGTACTAAATATTTTTTTAATAATCATAAAAATGACATCATTTTAAAGGTTGAACTCTTAACTTTAAGCTGATACCGAATTCATTAAAATCAATATAGTATTTAAGAAGCTATCCCGAATTAAGTGAAGGAATAACGAAAAAGACTTGTTTCAATTGTTTGATGCGTTGCGAGTTGCGACCTAAATTGACTCCCTATAAAAGCACCTGCTATCGGATTTTTGAAGTGAAACTTCTTTAGGCACGCTTGACTTGGGGGATAGGCTGGCCAATGCGTTACGCGTTACGAAAAGTGTCAGAGCACAAGAAAGAAGTTAAAGATTTTTTTTTATTTTTTCCAAATCAGATAGAGCCGGTTTCTTATTACTACAAGGTCACAGATTATATAATCTGTCCAAAAAGAGAATTAATCCGAACAATTCCAATGCAAATTTCAATTCGGTCTATGAAGAATCGTCTTCGAGCAGTTATTAGGGTGAGGGGAGGGAACACAGAGTACGGACACTTAATTTTATGGTAAAATAAAATTTTTATTTATTAATATTTGTTGTTTTATTCATTCATTATTTATTTTTCCATATTTTCTTGTTTACCTACCTCCTTCACTTAATCCGGGATAGCTACTTAACTACTGGCTCAATTTGAATGAATTTGGTATCAATTTAAAGTTGACACTTGAATCTTTAAAAGTCATGTAGTTTTTATGATAATTAAAAATTTATTTAGTAGGTAAACAAGATCGCGCGGAACCAATTTCAAGTAAGTGATTCCAAACTTTTGCTCGCGAGTGTATTTTTAACACGCTTTTATTAGGTCGACCTGTATGTAACTATGTAATGGAATCTAGCAAATTAATTTAACCGTCTTTCAAGGAACGTAGCGTAATGAAAATTGGCAGCTGTATGTAGTTCTGATGACAATACAATAATATGGTACTGTCGAACTAATCTGATGATGGAGCCGGAAGATATGAACTGAAAACTTTATGATGGAACATTATATCATAGCTGTTTTTTGGATTTTGTTTAAATATTAAGTGTAAATATTGACAATAGTGCCTGTATAAACTGTATTAGATCTGAGCATGGAGAGTGTAAATAGAATAATATTAATATATCTATATACGACTAGTATATTACGTGTAAATAGGGTAGTAGGTTGTTAAAGATCCCCAAGCCAAGGTGAGAAACGTGCCGAGGGCTGAATGGCGCGTTATGCGCTTACCACACGCACAAGCTTCACCACAGTTTGGCCTGCGCAAGCATCTCGCACGAAAAAACTGTACACTGTGTGCGTTACCACACGGCACAGTTAAGTACGCGCAAGCCTCATTCTTATCGAAATCATTGACGTGGAAACAATGTTTCCTAATGAAGAAACATTTCTTATGCTACTATTTTTCAAGTGTTGTCCATGTGTTTGCTATTAAAAAAAAGACAACGCAAAAGTCAAAATTAAAGCGATCAAAGTGGACAAAAAAATGGCTGTTGAATAGAAAAATTCATACACATATTAATCTAATTAAGGATTTAAGAGATGATCCAAACGATTTTCGTAATTATATATGGATGGATGAAAATGCTTATGGTGAATTGTTACGTATTTTTGCCATTTTTGAGTGACGATGACGAACGACCTCATGAAACGACGAGCGAGCCTCGACACAAAGTACACTCGACTGTGGTTTGAACACTGAACGCCCAACCACACGCACAGACAAGTACGTGCAGGCCGGGCTTGCGCAGGCAAAATTTCAAGCAAGTCGAAAAGTGCGCAGGCCGCGCTGTGGGGTTGGCGCGTGATACAGTTTTACCAACTACACGCACCGTGTTCCGTGTACAAACCGGCCTGCGCAGGCAAAACTGTGGTGAAGCTCGTGCGTGTGGTAGGCCCATTAAGGATGGTTAATAATATCATGTCGCTTGAATGCCTTAAGGGTCAGAGGCTCGACAGCGAGTATCTCGTAGTATTGCAATTTAAAGATCCCTTTAGGAGCGTTGGTGCGTATCCTACCGCAATGTTAAATATAAGTAATATAAAGTAAAAGTTGTGAAAATAATACCATTGCTTTTTGCGTCATCTTTCAAGTGACAAAAATATATATCTTTATTAAAAACATGACAATTAAAAAAGTTTCTAATACAACAGCTACCGGCGAAACTCGCCGAAACTCGGCGAAACGCTTGAAAAAGCATTGCGTATTTATCCAACAAACGACCAAGTAGAGAAGCACAACAATGAAGTCTTTAAATTTTACGAACGAAAGGTACTCGAATGTACGTCATAAAAGCTCAAGACTAGTTTGCGCTTGAAAAAGCATTGCGTATTTATCCAACAAATGACCAAGTAGAGAAGCACAACAATGAAGTCTGTAAATACGAACGAAAGGTACTCGAATGTACGTCATAAAAGCTCAAGACTAACTTATTGCGCGACCTGAAACCTTAAAAAATAATTAATTTTAGTCCATTATTCCCAGCGATATAAATAAAACGGGTGGACTACCGAGTACCTAAATTAAGAATTTTCAAAGGGGCTAAAATCGTGTTGCTCTCCAATATAGACGTGGAGAAGGGGCTAGTAAATGGGAGTATCGGATTCATCTCGGACATCGTCTGGCCGCACTTTAGATGCGACCAAATGAAATGAAACCGACATACCGTCCATCAAAGTTAATTTTGGAAACGACGGTGAGCACCTAATTCAGCCTATAGGCATCCAGTTCCCGGCCAAGTAATTTTAAGTTGAGCATCTACCGTGCACCAGATGCATGACTGTACGGTAGACCACGCAGTGGTGTACTTAGGGTCCCGTACTATTACGGCTGGACAGGCGTATGTAAGCCTTAAGTAGAGTAAAATTACTTAGTGGTCTCCATATTGAAGAGCCAGATTGTTTTAAGCTGACAGATGACATGCACAGACGCACTGGCGGAGATGGAGAGGATACGGGCTCATTCGCCTACTTAAAAGTAAAGTAAAAGTAAATGTATGAAGTAAAGTTTAAAAATCTCTTTATCTATTAGACAAGTCTGTCCGTCCGTCCGTCCGTGGTGCTGTTTCAGCGGCCAAACCGTAAGAGATAGATAAAGAGAATGTTTAAGTTATAAGTTGAGAATAGTCTGATAAGACTACAAACCGGATGTGAGTAACGTAGCACTTCCGGTTTTCGAGAAATCACGTGATTTCTATTTCAAACGAAACCACACAAAATCTCCGAAGTTCTCAATTAATTAAATACATTTTTTTTTTGGTGAACATTTGGTTCACTGGTTTGCTAGTATACTATTAATTTTTTTATGTATGACCACGAGAGCAGTCCTATTTTGATAATCTTTTTTTATTGGAAAGGCTAACCCCGAAGTGCGTCCCATATGAATTTGAAAAAAACCCAACCCTAAGGGTATGAAAACGGGATGATTCATTATTTTCTCACCGATTGTAATATATGACCACAATTAACTTTTACGGAGTAGTCTAAGTTTGATTATTATTATTTTTTGGAATGGAGATACATCAAAGTTGGTCTCACATAAATTTGGGAATAAATCTTCCCTAAGGGTGGGAAAATAGGGGTGATTGACTTACAGATTTTGATGCCGAGTTGTATATTACAAAAAGTATCATCATCATCGTCATCTCAGCCCTACCTACGACGCCGACTGCTGAGCATAGTCAAATAATATAGAAACAAAAAAAAAAATGTAAAATCTAAACGTTTTAACAAAAAAATTAAACTGCCGAGAAGTAAAAAATGATTTCCTTGATTTCCTAACTCCTTCACTTAATACAGGATAGCTTCTGGCTCGATTTGAATGAATTCGGTATCAATTTAAAGTTAACAGTAATTATTACTTATTTTGATAATTGCTGACACGTGGAAAGAGACTACTTTAGTGAAACTGAAGTTGGGGCGGGGACTACTTGTGCTATTTTAAAATTGTTGGCGTAGTATAACCTGTCTGTATATTATACTCATTGGGCCAGATTAACATTTTTGTAAGTATTTCGACGTCTACTAAAATTATAAAATGTGAAAGTTTGTATCCCTTAATTTATTTTAAAATTGCAATTGGTTATCTATGCCGAATTGATGCCGAGACTAAATATGTTAACCCCCCTCCCCCTTACCACATATGTATAATGAGTTCTCAAAATATACTTTAAGTAAGTATATTTTGAGAACAGGCGCAGGCATAGAATAATAGGTTATATTGCGCAGATAAAGGAGCTCTGACGTGGAATTTTATATTTAGTTGTCGCTACTTATTCAGAAAATTTTGTTAGAATTTTCGCTGTTTCGAAAGATCGCCATTGCAGGAAAAAGAAACCGTTTGAGTCTTTGGTAATAGAAATTGCAGAAACCTAAAAAACTTTGTTTTTTAACTCTATTGTCACTCAAGCTTTTCATGTTTTAATTTATAGGTATGACTCATGATGTAACTATGGGCTTGTTGAAAGCCAGTGCTTTCGTTTTTTTCATCCTTATTCCAGTTAGGTAGTTATGTAGTCTTTTGTTCTTCAACGTTTCGAAATTTGTTGAAATTAATCTGTTACCTGTTACCTGGGCGATGTAGCTATGGGTTAAAATAGACAATTCTTTTTTTTAAATTAAGTATTGCGTAAGTAATGATGTTGGTGCTATTTCATTCATTAGTATGACCCAAAGATATCCATACCTTACTTATTTTTTGATGGACAAAATATGGACATTCGATTAAGTTACTACTTACTGGTGTGTACAATAAACGTATAGTACATACTCGGTAACTTGTGCTGTGTGCAAATTCTCAGGTACCAAGTGGCACAGGTACGTAAAAAAGTGTTGCACAAGTTTTATACTGTAAGTAAGAAACTTGATTTTTATATCTTTAGGAGGTTATTTTAATGTATTTTGTAAGCTGCCAAACCAATTGTAGATCAAAAATCCGTAAAGCGTTTTTAAAGTTCCGCCGTGGATAAGAGCGCACTCATGGGAATCGATCGCCTTTTTATTATAGTTTCATTACTGTTATCGTGTAAATAGTCTAATGGAAGCTTTAAATAAATAAATAATAAAACATACATAGTACATACAGGTCAAACTGAGAACATTCTTTTTTGGGGCGGACATGCATATTCTGAGAAATATGCATATGGATACACCATATAAAATCCACCCAATCCTTTAAATTGGTGAGAAACGTGCCGAGGGATGGCTGGCAAGTGGCTAAAAAAAGGTAAATTTATAAAATCAATAAACCCGACTGCTTAAATATTACTTTAAATAAAAACTGAAAAGGAAAAACAAGTTCAATAGTCTATAATTCGGTTAAGTAAGGAACAAAGCTACATTAACTGTCGGGACCCATTAGCTATTCAAGGATGAATAATTTTTTTTCAATAATGGGTCCCGACTGTTATAGTAGCTCTGTTCCTTACTTAACCGAATTATAGACTACTGGACTTGTTTTTTCCTTTTAATTTTTTATTTAAAGTAATATTTAAGCAGTCGGGTCTTTTGATTTTATAAATTTACCTTTTTTATTTTACACTTTTTAGTTAGGATTATAAGACATAGTATATACCATACTGCAGTGTTGTCACTTTAATAAGGGAGTTAATATCGCGAGGATTATTAAGTACCTTGCGGTGGTCTAAACAATTGATTTATTAAGACACCTTACCATCAGGGTCAAGCCCTTATTCATGGGCCTCTATTTTCGCAAAAATATGTGAAGTTAAATCAATTCCTTACCTGTATATCTCATGCATGTAAATTATATACTTAACTAGTACTTATATTCCGTTTTTATTTAAAAAGTCATCTTTTGCTTAAATTCTTTTTAGTAGTAAATATAAAATTTATTTACTTTTATATGTCGACTATCTAAAATTGGAAGATTTTAAGATACACAAATGCAGTGCATATCCTTGTCTTACAATTTGTTTTACCTACATAATTCACAGAACCAAATATGTAGGTGCCAGAGGTTAAGGTATTATAAAGAGGCAGGAGTTGTGTGTGTAAAAGGTAGCTGGGACGTTCTTTTTTTTTAAGGCCAATGACTTGTCTTCTCCGCAAAAAAACAAATGTTATTGCTCCAAAATACAAAAATGTTGTTTTTCTTTTACAAAAATACACTTGACAATGCAACAATTATACTATCCTCAAAACTAGATTTTGATTATTAATATTTTTTACAAAAATTTTGTGACATAGATTACGAAAAACGTTACGGGGGTGTTGCACATACAAATAAAGTGTGTCCCTCTGTGACTACTAATGTAAACAAACTGTTCTCGTACAAAAAAATCACATTGAAAGTTTCTATCCAAAAACATTTACTGAACTACTTAACCTTTGTTATTTATAATTTTTATTATTTTTAAAGCATGTAACTGCTTGATGTTTAAATCTAAAGAAAATATAACTAGAAAAAATTCCACGCGGACCAGGCAGCAGACGGGAATTTTTTCTAGTTATATTTTCTTTGTTATTTAATTAATAAGAAGAAATAATATATTAATGTTTTTATTATTAAATAAAAAAATATTTGATTTGCTGTCTCCCGACGCATATCATTCTTATTGCTGTCTTCTGTCACTCGTTTTATGGTACAAAATAATGTGCGTTAGCAATTTTGACCTTGGTCACTAGACAAGAGCATAGTCCCCCTCCACTCCGCTCCCACGCTATGTGTCCCTACCCCCCGGTGATACCAGTCAGTCGCTCGCAAACATTAAAAGGAGGTGCGTGTGTTTATTTAGCGACCACTCTGTCACGTAAGTTACTACTTCTAAATATTATTTTAATTCCTGTGTGTTAATATTTTTTTATTGATTCCTGATATCTATTTCATATATGCAAACTTTTATGAATTAATTATAATTAGACCAATGCTGAGAATCTCGAACACTACTATTTTACACCTCTGTCACGAGGCACCTCTGTCACAAAAATGTGACGGAGTGGTAAGCTTGTGACGGAGTAGTCGTTTTTGTATGGAGCTTAGAGCCTTAGTTCATTTTCATAATAGATGATTTTTAGTTTTCTTATGTTGTTTATTATATGGTCGATTATTTTGTTAATTTAAGGTGTTACCATCAGATAAATTCAAAAATGCCATTATCGGCGGCTGAAAGACAGCGACGGTGTCGTGAAAAAAGGAAACTTAACCCTGAAATCGTTGCAGAAGTGAAACGTAAAGATTAAGAATGATATCATGCTTGTAAAAAATTAGTTAAAGATATGACACCAAAACAACACAAAAAAATAAAGAGACAATGGCAGATTAGAAATAGGAAGAGAAGAGAACGACAGAAAGCTTTGCAGAACGTTTTGATGAACACTCCGGCTTCTACACCACCTCTTTCAAGTCCCAGACCATTAAGTCCGAGATCTCGTTCACTTACTCCAGCCTCGTCTACTGCCAGTGCAAGAGGAAGAAAACAAGTTAGACGGGATAGATCACAACTTTATAGAAAAAATATTCAACTTCAAGACCAAATACAAGGATTACTAAGAAAAGTACAGAAATACAAGAAAAGACTTCAGCGACAGAAAAAAAATGAAGATAAAGTATACAATACAACCCTACTATGGGTTGAAAGGAAAATGAACACGACGAAAAAGAAAACAGAAAATATACTATTTATTGTTTTCTAAAGTTTAAAACTGTTTTAAGGTTAACATTGCTCGGCGGGTAATGATTATTTACCACTCTGTCACAATTTTGTCCCCCTTATAATTTAAGTTCAAAGTAGTGTATGCTCCAGTTTATTGGTAATATTTACAAAAATAGCGTTTTCTAGTATTACATGCTAAACAATGAAGTTGTTCACCAGATTTTCAAGTTACTTTATTGAAAGACTTTCATAATATTAAAAAGTTTTTTGTCTTAAAAAGCAAAACTGTGACAGAGTGGTATTGGATATCATTTTTTTAATGTTTTTATTAAGAATTCCGTCCCATGGAGCTAGTTTAAAAGAAATGTTTGTATTCTTGATAAGAAAGAAATAAGAAACTAAAGATCTGATTTTGCATGAAAAATAAAAAAAATAAACATTTTCGTGACTGAGGTGTTGATTTTTTGTTACCATTCCTACAAAATTAGAAGTTAAACAAAAATTACAAGTAATACTTCGATGCATTATATATGTTTGAAATCTACAACAACGAGGCAATAATTTAAAATACATTTTACTAAAGAAATCACATGTTTACTTTTTTAACAAATATAAAAATTTGCCTGTCAGATTGGCCATAAAAAAGAAGAACGTCCCAGCTACATTATTTATTATATTTTTAAGCATTCATCTCAATACGTTAATTAATCTGATCGATTTATAAATCTAAAGAATACTTTTACTTGCAAAAACAATTTCTCTGAGTGGAAATTTTATTAGTATTTTTTTTTCTTTATTTATAACTACATTCCCGATTGACAAAGGTTATATTCTATCCCGTTAAAATAATTTCGCCAGTGCAATGTTGGAGTGGATCACTAATATAATATAATATTATAGATGCGAAAGTGAGTTTATTTGTTACGCTTCCACGCCCGAATAGCTAAATCGATTATGATGAATTTCCCTATAGAAATAGATGGGACCGTGGTTCTAAGCTACGTTATCGAAATATTTATCAGGTAGGGTGATGAGAGGGGTGATTTACCTATAAAACTTCATATTATTTGCTTCGAATTTTGCAGAATTATCGTTTATAATTACAAAACCAACATTGTCGTGAGCTGATTGATTAAGACAGGAAGTCGATTAGGTATGTACCTACTGGCGAATTTATTATGTTAAGTAACCCTTTAGTAACATGAAGTAATATCGTTAAAATAAACTTTGTAAACCATTTAATTCTGAGTTTTTCAATTAATTTCAAAAATTATAAATTCCTATTATGCTAATTGATTTTTCATCATTTAATAAGAAGGAACTTTATCACAATTTTATTGTAAGTACTTCGTACAGGATTACATACTGCGAGTAGCCCATTTTTAGGGTTCCGTACCTCAAAAGGAAAAAACCCTTTTAGGATCACTTTGTTGTCCGTTCGTCCGTATGTCAAGACCTTTTTTCTTAGGAACGCGTGGCGGTATCAAAAAGAAATTCATATCTAATACTCATGTGTACTGTCCCTTGAAGCTGTGAAAAAATCAAACTTCGAAGCCAAAGCAATCAAAAGATACAGCCGTTTATGGTGCAAAATTCCGCAAATTTTCGAAACTCGCACAGGAATAAAAACCTACAGGGTACTTCGTATAAGTAACATCTTATAGTACAGATAAAATAAAAATTGCGGAAACCTTAAATTTTTTGTTACTAAATATAATAAAAAATATTTTTAAAAATTTAAAAGTTACTACCTCTTCTCTCATGAACGCGTAGAGGTATTAAATTGAGTTTGTACGGAACCCTCGGTGCGCGAGTCCGACTCGCACTTGGCCGGTTTTTTTTGTCTTCCTAGGTTTTATCTACGTTTATAAACACCAAAATTCATCACTTTTCCCACCATTGCCGCAGTATACTCGTACTCCTGCATAGTACATCGCGCTATCACTTTGTCATCATTGTAACTTTTTAAATATTTGTCAAAATTACACAGAGTAAAGGGAAAAGTTCATTGTCTTTAAATATCAAAAGCGATAAAAGTTTTTGTTTTAATAAAAAGTTCTTTGTTTATACAAAATATACATTTTGGAAATTTATTTCAATTAATATTTTATTTTTGATTCACTGTTTTAGCTATAATGGCTTACACATTAAAAATTGATATATGTTGACCTGGAGTTTTGTGTAGAACTATATAAGAGATACATTTCCACCGTACATTATAATCATGTAACTTTTATTGTTTTTGCAGTGCGGGCTAAAATGGCTCGCAGATGCGAGTTTTTTTCCGTCTTACGTGACACTTATTGTTATATTTTTGCCAATCCACCAAATAACTACGTAAATTATAATCCACATGCTATTATTATGTATGAGCTATATTATTGGTTAGTTTGATTAAAATCCATTTAGTATTTTTTGAGTGTAAGAGTTACAAAGATCCATACAAACGTAAGATTGAAATTCAAAGCGCAAGTGGTTAATATACAAATTTAAATCGTTGTAGATCCTAAACTATCATATAAAATGAAAAATGGTGTAAGAAACCTATATATGATTTTCGATTTTCTAGACAATGATACCCCATTTGACATATTTCGTCAACTTTTTTTTTTTCCCACAATATGGCGCCCAGTTGTGTCCATATTGATTTGCGATTATTATTATCATATCTTTAGCAGCACTCCCATGATTAAGACGAATCCATTGATGTATAAATGATCAAAATCGGTCCACGCGTTTGGTCTCTAGTGTGCCACAAAGGAACATACATACATATATAGACTGTTAAACACTATACCCTGTCTGCGCGTCGCGCTCTTGCATTGCGCAGTTGGGTAAAAAGCGTGTGCGATATAGTCATACATTATTCTATTCCATCCATCTGCATACACATCACACTTAGGCTTATCAGCCATAAGTGCATTAAGTTAAGTCATAATGCGGCAGAGGAGATTGAGCGCTGGTCACAGTGCGGGCAAACGGTAATGCGAAGAGACTACACGGATGGTTAGGTTGGTGCCGCGTATATCGGTCAGGAACGTACAACCGACTAAGTTCATTGTGTAGATCTGGAGCATTAATAATACCACGGAGTATTTTGATGCCAATCGATAGTTAGTTCTTTGTCCTACGCGCTCTAAGAGAGTTTAAGTCAAGAGTGCCTAAGAGAAATACAGTTGGGTAGAGGTATGGGTATAAATTATATGTGTATACTTATGCGTTTATATGGATATCTTAGGAATGCCTTCTAAACTTTCACAAGCAACAGGGTATATGTGCTTTCGTGGGGGTGCCACACGCAACTCGCGGCTTCAAGTTTACTGCGGACAAGTGCATACTAAAGAATTTTAATATTGACGTGGCTAAAGGTTTAGTAAATAGTAATATGGGTTCTATCACCGAAATTATCTGGAAATATCATCACATTTTTGACGTGATCAAGTATATGATACGGACATACCATCAGTCCGTATAGATTTTGGTCCAAATCAATTGGGACCAAAATCGGATACATGTAATTAAGTCTCTAAATTAATTAATCTCGATACAGTTTCCAGCAAAATATGGCTAGTTACAGCTGAATGACGAATGCTACCTTTACTTTGATTGACAATTAGCTTCATACTCTTACTTGTTAGCAAATAGAACCCTTTTTGGGTAGATAACTTCAGGCTTACTCCATTTATGTAGCTTGTAAAATTGAATTAAATTCATTCTCTAGTTTAAATTTACTTTAATAACATAATATATTGTTTTTTGCATTTTAAGAAACTTTAGTGTAATCTCAGAGGTGGGTGTTAATAGTTGCGATACAGTTTTTATAATTATAGCAATTTATCGCTGTAAAGGGCCATATTGATGTATATTAAATGCACAATGTATTTAAGGTAAGTACTTAATTGGATAAGGATGAAGGCTGTATTGCTGAAAATCGCTTCGTAAATAAGCTATTATTTCTCGTAAAAAATAAAGAATAAAGATGGTTATTGTGGTTTATCCCTAAGTGGGATAAGGTGTACAATACTGTAGTACATTATTTTGATCTATCTCGTAGGGTTCAGGCAGCGTTTACAATGTAAGCGCAAAAAAATGTGTTTATTTACGACCCTACATTAAAAACTGTCAAAATTATCAGTGTTTCCCACACGCATGCATATTATGCATGTAGGTATTATACATATAAACCTTCCTCTTGAATCACTCTATCTATTACAAAAACCGCATCAAAATCCGTTGTTTTAAACATCTAAGCATACATAGGGACAGACAGACAGCGGGAAGCGACTTTGCTTTATACTATGTAGTAATGTACACATTATACCTGTGTGAGCAAAATATACTAAATTTTACGTATTCTGATCACCGTTTATTAAACTAAAAATGTAAGTAATAAATTATATTTAAAGAAAAGCTAAAAAACGCATTAAAAGCAAATTGAACTAAAAAGCAGTAAATACATTTTAATTATTGATATTGTCACAAACGCTCTCGAAACAATACCGTGAAAATACTAGTGTGTGTGGTGCGACTCATTCTTATATGAGCCTCAGTGTAAGATTAACTAATTAGATTGTAAAAAAGTGTGGGTGCGTGATATTGCTCGTTGTAAATAATATATCAGTAGTTTCTATTTATATAAAAGTAGAGTTATTATTAATCTGTTGATATATAATATCAATAATTAAAATTTATTTCTGCGTTTTAGTTCAATTTGCTTTTAAAGTTCTTTTAATCAAACCTTTAATTAAGTATTTTAATATGGCATTAACACGTTAATTTGAAACAAAAAAAAACACTATTTGAATGTTGTTCAAATAAAGGTGGAAAATGGACTGATATATTCATTAATTAAGGACTTCTTAATCGGGCCAACAATATTAAAAATAAACTAAATACGATGCCAGAAGACATTAACTCCTCTGAACCAATCTGAACACTCATCGTGGTATACGTTCTTTCGACCTTATCTTTAAGATTATTTATAAAATGTTCACGTGCCATAAGTGCAAATTTGGCATTTTGTGATTAGCAAGTTCGCAACCCTACAATGCTCGTGGCCCGACACCCACTTGAACGGTTTTATTTTAGTACTTTTAATGCAATACAAATATTAAAGCACTGTTTTTCTTGTGCGCCGACGTCTGCAAGATGCCAGTCAATTTTATTTGCTTATTGCTTGTGCCGAAGGTAGAGAACATAATTACCTTGGACTGCGTGCTCCAGGAAATCGAAAATATATGGGGTTACATCTGTAGTTATTATTCTTAGGGTTAGTTCGAAAACTTTATGAAAATCTTAAGGGCACGGAGCGTCCAATTTTAAAACACCAATAGAAAAAGTAAAAAGTATTTGGTAGGTATTAGGGGAAGCCATAGAATAATAAAGGGTGAAGCCGTAGTGATTGACGAGAGGAGTGACTTTCCATAATATGACATTCTATTCACATTATTAATAATATCGTTATCTCGAAACAACGCTTTTGCATTCTGTTGGTTGGGATCCATTAGAATGTTCAAATTTATAGTGTCAAAGTGCAAGATGGCAATTTTCACGGAATGTCAATAGCTGAAGTTTTTTGGGTGCAGCTTGCAACCTCATTATTTAAAGAAAAGTATTATTCTCAAGCACTCTTAATAATGTAATACGGCAACATAATGA